AGCACACATGCACAGAGCAGATGTAAGTGATCAACAGACACTTCACACACACATAAAAAAGTCCAGGGGGCTGTATCACGTGTGTGTAGACAACAGATGCCAAAATGCTAATATGCTGTCACACTGGAAGCAGTATCCCGTGGCCTCTGGTGATTTGTCATAAACTCTGGAAGGCCTCTCCGCAGATGACAGCTCCCCCTCCTGCTGGCCTCTGCTCTGACAGTTCCCAGCAGGCACCCCTCACTTACCTCTTCCAGTTAGCTCCGCAGCGGACGCAGCCTTCCTTGGACCTTGGCCTTCACCCTCTTGGGTCTGAGCTAAGGGACACTTCAGGGATGCTTCCTGGTTGGAAGCACGTGGACCACGAACTGAAAAGTAGGAACACCTGCCCCCTCCCCATCCCCGACGGGCCACCTCACCCTTCCAAAAAGCCACCGGAGCACATTTGGGAAAAGTTAAGCTGTTTTATTTCACAGGGTAGCTCCACGTCAAACCAGCAGGCACCATGAGAATACGCAACAGAGGATCCAGTCACACTCTACGGCACGGGCGCTGGGTTGTAAGGGAGAGAAGCGATGTCCGGGAGAGGGCAACACTTATCACCACATGGGGACAGGCAACCAGCAATTTCCTAGGGTGGTTTCAGTTTGATTTTCCTGACAGTTTGGGGAGGAAGGAAACCAAAGGAAACTAAATAGACCAGCCACTCTGAAGCAATCAGAACCGAACCTATTGCCAAACCGTGTAAACAGTCACACTGCCGGGGACTAGAGCCTGAGCAGAAACCCTGGCCAGAAGCTACTTCCTTCCAAGGAAAGTAAAGTGCACCCTGGCCGTTCTGGTTCAAGGTCGTCGTTTGCCTCGGACAGTTCACACGGAAAGGAGGTATCAGCAAGGAGCAGTCCCAAAGGATGAGACGGCAGGACGCTGGCAGATCAACTTCCGAGAGAGGCGAGGAGGACCCCGACCTGGCAACAAAGTCCCTCCCCTCCCCCAGCTCCCCCAGCAGCTTTGGATATGTGGGGAATTCTCTACGCAGCTGCTCAGAGGAGCGGGGACCCCAGAGAACCAGGGAAGTTGACATGAGACATCAGCACTAGCTCTGCACAGCAGAAAATCATCTCAGCAACACCTCGGCTCACCCCTTCCTAGCTTTTCCTCCTGATCCCTCCTCCCTGAACCCAGCAGCTTTCCCTCCCCCACAGTCGTGAGCCAGCCGTGTCTTCTTTCTGGGTTTCTCGGGAGGATGAGGCATTTGCTCTAGTGTGAAAAGTCAGGGACAGAGAGGCTAAGAGGAAGAACCATCACGTTAGTCCTCGTGGTTGTCCAACAGCCACGTCCACGCACTGAGCGCCAGGTAATGACCAGGACCCAGGAAGTCCTCTGCATCCATGCCTGCTGACTGAGAAAGAAATAACCCCCCCGACAAGGCACTCTGAGGGCCTCCAAAAGGGAAGCAAGCCCCGCGCCAGGCCCTTCCCCGCACTGGCCCCACGTGGGTACCACCAACCAGCTGGGGAGTGTTTATAAGGCAGATCACCGAGCTGCTGGTTCCGGCCGGCAGCCGAGGGATGGCTCCACTTCCCTGCGTCTCTTCCCACTCGGATTTCTTCATGGGATAGGAACCTGGTGGGAATCCATTTCTCTCCTGCCCCTGAGGGCCCAGTGACCTCAGAGAAAAGATCCCCCCACACACAAGTCTAACTCACAAGCTGACAATTCCCTCCAGTTGTGCGCTCTGTCCGGGGTTCAAAAGGCGCTTCAAGGTGAGAAATCGTTAGCACTGAAAACAAGGAAAGGCAAGAATTTTTCACAGAATCCCACAGTTCAGAGCAGCTCTTTAAGAGGAAAGGGGACTAAAGGGAGAGAGGGGGTGTGGGGTAGGAAGCACGGCTCGTTCTCAATTTTATCCAAGAAAGGTCCTTAGCGGCCGGAGGCTGGGCCCCAGGCCCAGGAAACTAGACCAGGAATGAATTTGTTCTTTGGTCAGTTTTAAATGAACATCTTGCTGGTTCATTCCTAAAAGAGACTGAACACCGGTAACACAGAAAGACAAAAGGCTTGACCTCAGGGTAAGTTGAAGGTTAAGAAATCATTCTGTGAAGAGCAAAAAAAAAAAAAAAATTGCCCGTTATCAATGAACTGATCAGTACAGCTTCCAGTAATGGTGATGGACAAGTAGGTAGACACACCACTTCCCCTTGTACAATTGGTTATACTGAGGACTACTAACTAGGTTACTACATTTCCCCCACACTCACTGTACAGTTAGGTTTCTGGTATTTGTTTTTTTACATTGATCTATCTACTAGGTGCAAAGATTTGGTGAGTGGCATTGGCTATAATTTCATTGTAGCCTTTTTAAAAATTACAGTTTCACATTTTAACAGTTACTTTCCAGCATTTAAGCAAATACAGCAATATATAGTGGACTAACACAGGCAGGCGTCAGAAGAGAATGCCAATGCTCATGACGGTGGGAGGGCCTGGGTGCGTGTGGAGGGGGCCTGAGACATGCAGAGCGCCAGATTGGGGGGGGGGGGCGCAACATTTTTCCATTTGGTTCTGCGTCAAGGCTCAGATTTGGAGCTGGATGAGTGGGGTGTGAGTTTGCCTAAATGTGAGCTCATCGGCCATTTCCCAATGGAAAAACAGGTGCTTAAAGAAAACAGAAAGGCCTTGTCCTTCAGGTAGGTCATTCAGTGAAAGGCAGGCCTATAATCAGTAAGGAAAGATGAAGTTAGTCAATTCAGAGGAAAATCCACATGACCTGACTGGTGTTACGTACATCAGGCAACAGATCTGTCAACTCACATCTTAATGTTTCATCTGGTAGTCATGGCAGAGAATGTGATACCTTGCAGAGGAGGTCACTGTGTTTAAGGTCTGGGAGTCTCTCTGGGTAGAAATGAGAAGTCTCTGTCCTGGCTGGACGTCACAGAATCCTTGCAAATAAATGGCTTTAGGAGCCAGACCCAGCCACACCCTCAGCCATCTATTAAATCTTGGACAAGTCACAGCCATCCTAAGGCCTTGTTTCCTTCCCTAAGCTGTAATATGGAAGGCGGGGGGNGGGGGGGGGGGGGGTACTTTATATGCTAAGTGGCAGAGAGCTCCTAGCTTGCTCTGAGGCTCTTTGATTTCCAATTCTAGGCAAAACAAAGAAGGTCGAGTTTGTCACTAGCCTCTCCCTGGCATTCTCTTTTTGAGCCCTTCTTATTCTTCTCTCATGGTGTACTCTTGAGGCCAGTCCTTCAGGCAAGGCAGTGTGGCTCACCATCCCTACACACCCAGGTAAATGTGGCTTCATATGACTCCCTCTCTGGGGAACAGAGGAGAGGGCAGAACTTAATCCAGTGGGCTGACACGGCAATGATGGAATGTCAAGAGGTGACTTATCTGCAGGACTGTGCTTCATGACTCTTATGAAGCTGGTAGGAAAATTCCACTGCCCACTTCTCAAATGCCATTAGGAGGTTTCAAAAGGAAGGTGCTAGATGGTTTTCACCTTACTGATAACCATGAAAAGAGCAATTGTGTCGGTACAGTGCTTCCTAGGTTGCACAGTTTGCTTGCTCACATTTTATGGAACAGGAAACTGAGGCTCAATGAGGTGACACGCCCCCCCCCACCCAATTCTTTCCCCATATTTTCAATTGTGTTAAATGCACTGGAGGAGGTGGGTGAAAGGGAGAGAAAGGGGGAGGGGCAGCTATTTTACTGCATAAACTCCACCAAAGCATTCTCCTGGACGGCAGGTGACAAGGACTCCCTCCCCAGGCCTGGTCTGAGCTGCGTACCTACAGCCCTGTGTGCTTCATGCAAAAGGCCACCAGCCAGAGTGCGTCACGGCCTGATTTCAAATTAAAAAACGATGGGACTCAAACTCTCCTTGCCTGTTTAGTTCCAGAATCTGACACAGTATAATTAGTAGAAAGAGGAAAAGAAAAAATTAAATATTTTGAAAATGGTATAAGTTAAACCTCTATAGTTATCACAGAATTGTTCCTACAGCGTTTCTAGGTTTTGAAGTGTTCCACACCACTGTTTGGTTTTCTGTTTTTTTCCTTTTTCCCAACCACACATAATACTGTGCTACGACGGGGCTCAGGCTCTCACCATCCCCTCTTCTACTAACGAACACAGGCCGCTGAGGTCAGGGCTCTTCTCGCCAACGTCCTCCATGCTTTTGGGGGTGCAATTGGTCTTGACCTCCGGGTGGAAAGGCAGGGTCTCTGGGGTGGATGGGGAGGGGGCTCTGTGAAGTGGTCCCCACCTGTGGGAGCAGCCTGCCCAGGGTGCCGCCTGCCCCTCGCTTCCTTTAGGGGCAGACTGTTCTGGAAGGCCACGACTTCTGGAGACAGTGGGAGACTGGTTTTGTTTTTCTGCAGGTTAGTGGTATATTGCTTCATTCGCAGTTACTGTGGGCCTTTAAATTCTCCCAGAAAAGTCCCTGCAAATCCCACCAAATAACTCAGCGGGAGATGTTTGGTGGCATGGGTCTGAGGTAAATCTAAGTTTCATAAAAAGAAAAAGGAGATCCTATATACATTTTGTATGTGTGTCCAGATCTAGTATATGTATATAGATGCATAAATATATATATATATACACACACCTACAGACACATACATTCATACATACGTGTACATACGCGCACGCATACATATACACGTATATATGCATGTAGAGAGAATGTCGAGAGAATAACTTTCCAGTGACGATACGCGGGCGAAGCCATTTAACACGGGCCGTGACGTCAGGAACTGCTCCAGCCGGGGTACCGCTCCTCACCGCTCCGGTGTCTGTGTGTGCGCGGGAGGGAGGTGGGGGTCCACGCGACTGAAGGCGCGCCGCGGCTGGGCCCTGGGACTCGGCTCCGCACAGACCCGCTCCCAGGCTGACCTTCTGGTCCCTGCCCGACGAAGCCAGGAGCCCTGGGAGGCCGCGGAAGTCACCGAGGCCGCCCTCGGCCAGGGCGCTGCCCGCCACCCCGCAGCTCACATGGTGCCCGACTTGTCGGCCGAGCTGTTGGGGAAGATCTTCTCGGTGGGCGTCACGGCCGGGCTGCCCACTCCCGAGCTGCTGCTGCTGCTGGACCGGTGCTGGACCACGGGCCGCGCCGGCCGCATGGGGGGCGGGCGCAGCTGGGCGCCGGCCAAGCGCGCGGACAGGGCTGGCTTGAAGGTGGTCATCATCTCGGTGGAGCTGCTGCTGCTGCGGCGCATGGCGGCGTCGGGGTCGCGGATAACGATGGTGTGCAGGGGGCTGGCCGGTTCCGAGCTGATGGGGCCTGGCGGGTTCTTCAGGGGCTCCAGGGTGTCCAGCACCACGTCCGGCGCCTGCTTGACCGTGTTCTGCCTCTCCAGCTCCCGAAGCTCGTGCAGAGCCGTACTCATGGTCTTCTCAATGTCCTGGGGACAAAGAGAGCTCTGGTTGGCGCAGAGCTGGAGGCCTGGGGACTAACCCTTCCAGGGCACTGACCAACTTGTGGGTTCCTTAGGGAGGCTTCCCCACAAATCTCACTGGCTGGGCAGGAGAATCAATCCCAGGGTGCCTCATAACCATAAAGGGAAATCAATATGAGCTTTGCAGACCTTGCAGAGGCAGGCTCCACAGTCAGACAGACTTGTGTTCAAATCCTGGCTCTGCGGCTTCCTTGTTGTGTGACCCTGGGCAAGTTACCTTACCTCTCTATCTCAGAATTCTCATTTTGTAGGTTAAGTATAATACTGACCTCAGGGAGTTGATGAGTATGAAATGATATGGCCCCTTTGAAGAGCATGGCATGGCACCTGGTACATAGTGTTGAAAGTTAAAAGTGTTAAGTCACTCAGTTGTGTCTGACTCTTTGTAGCCCACTAGGCTCCTCTGTCGGAGAAGGCAATGGCACCCCACTCCAGTACTCTTGCCTGGAAAATTCCATGGATGGAGGAGCCTGGTGGGCTGCAGTCCATGTGGTCGCTAAGAGTCGGGAACCACTGAGCGACTTCACTTTCACTTTTCACTTTCATGCATTGGAGAAGGAAATGGCAACCCACTCCAGTGTTCTTGCCTGGAGAATCCCAGGGACGGGGGAGCCTGGTGGGCTGCCGTCTATGGGGTCGCACAGAGTTGGACACGACTGAAGTGACTTAGCAGCAGCAGCAGCAGGCTCCTCTGTCCATGGGATTCTCTAGGCAAGAATACTGGAGCGGGTAACCATTCCCTTCTCCAGGGCATCTTCCTGACCCAGGGATTGAACCAGATCTCCAGTACTGCAGGTGGATTCTTTATCATCTGAGCTACTAGGGAAGCTCCAAATGATATGGTCCCTTTGAAGAGCATGCCATGGCACCTGGTACACAGTACTTCCCAAATAATATGGAGGTAATACAGAGCACCAGTGTGAGCCTCCTTCCTAATAATTGATTTAATCCTCATACTTATTACTTATCTACCAGGAACTACCATTATGCTCACTTCACACACAAGGAATTGGAAGCTCAGACTGGTTATCTTGTCCAAGGTCACACAACTACTTAGCAGCATAGTAGTCTGACTCCAGAGTTCATGCACCTAAGCATTAATATTAACAAATCTATTAATGTCTCTCCTTCGTCCATAGGAAAAGTGTTCAGAGGTTATATATTAGAACATTCACAATGCTCACCCCAGGGTGATGGGACTGTTACTTTCTTCTATTATAATGCTGTTTTAGGAAAAAAAAAAATGAAAAATTTGAAAGGTAACAAAAATCCTCATCTGCCTATGCAGTTCCTGGGGATACTGAGACATTTAAGAGCTCATCAGTATGAGAGCACTTTGAATGACACTCAAAGAGATTCTGGCAACTCAGAGGGTAGGCCTGGGGCTCAGCATTCCAGGAGGGGGCAGCATTTAACCCAGGAGCTGTGGGTCAGGATACAGAGCCCGGGTTTGGGAGGAGAAAGACTGCTTTACCACTGACACTGGGCAACCTCGGGCAAGGCTCAGTCACCCTGCACACACCTGGTCCCTGAGCTGAAAGCCCCCCACTGGCAGTGAAGACGGAGGAGACAGCGGACGCAGTGATGTGTGTGAACTGCCTGACAGTGACCTCTGCTCTCCCCCAGCCAGAGTCCTCGGCTCCCGTGGTGTTTCCCAGGGATGCCTCCACTCAGGCTGAGCTGGGCTACCAAGGGGACAATGGGGGACAGTGCTTAGAGCCGGTAATGGAAGATGCTGGCCCCACTTCAGGCTCCACATCACTACTGAGACACACTAACTGGCTTTTCCGCCCTGGGGCAACTCTGGGGAGAAAAAAGGAAAGTGTGGTTAGACTGATAGGGCTGGTGCCTGCAGGCGTCCCGGCCAGCCCCTTCCCCACCCAGGTCTCTCTTTCCCGTCTTCCTCCCCTGTCTTCAGGTGGCTGCTGCCTGCTGGGCCCCCATACCAGGCTCCAATCCGTCCCAGCCCATCATTTTGCTTTGTGAAGGGACACTGGAAATTCGCTAACAGCCAATATTAGCCTGTGGGCTGCCCAGGTGCCACTAGTGGTAACGAACCCCCCTGCCAATGCAGGAGATGTAAAGTGATACGGGTTCAATCCCTGGGTCGGGAAGATCCCCTGGAGGAGGAAATGGCAACCCACTCCAGTATTCTTGCCTGGAGAATCCCATGGACAGGGGAGCCTGGCGGGCTACAGTCCAGAGAGTCTCAAAGAGCGGGACACAACGGAAGCAACTTAACACGAAACACAATATTAGCATATATGCTTCGCCAAGATACTTCATCCTCTGCCCATAACACTGTCTACTTTAAGAAGACACTGTTTGTGCCTTTATCCACAAGGATTAGTGGTGGTGGTGGGGGGTCCTGCACGACAGCAGAGAAGGCAGTCCGGTCCCCACTTTTTGCGACCTCCCACCCCTGCAGAGATAAATGACCACCTTCCACACCCCAGGCTGCTTAAATTACGTCCCCCCTGATATCACTACACAGTCTGCTCTACTCCGGCAGCGCCCCAGGGCAAAACTAATAAGTAAAATATAATTATCGCCCCTCTACCACCATCCCTACCATCCCCACCACCCCACCCTTGCAGAGTGTGGGCCAGAAAGACAGCAAGCTCAGAAAAAGATCAGCTGAGGTGTTTAGGCACAAGCCTGGTGTTAGTCTGAGACGTGATGCCATGATCTCAAAGTGGAGCTGCAGAGAGGCGCCAGGAAGCGTGGACAGTGGTGGGACAGGGGGGCAGGGAATGATCACTTTTCACTTTGTCCTAAATGAGACCTTTCCACCTTGGATGGGTGTTTCAAGGTCCCCAACCCCCCTCTTCACAATAGAATCCTCACCGCCCCAAAGATTCTGATTGTCCCTCTTTTCTTAACAGGGAGAAAACATTGAGAAGGGGATACATAATGGGCTGCCAGCCAAATTCCAGGGAGAAAAGTGGAAACTTGAACTATGATAAAACCGTCAAAAACACATGAAAGTTGTCGTGCCAATTATTAAACAATTCAAACAAACTGTTTGGTAACAATTTTTAAATGAATTTGTGTGCTTTCTTCGGCAAGTGTAAAAATCACGCAGGTTTCTCATCCAAATTTTTAAGAAGTTACCTAACAAAACAGAAAACTCGAAGCACTTTGGAAGAGCATGGAACATTTTCTGCTTCCAGCTTCAGCTATTTCGTCCTGCCTACCCTTTGGATCTTGGTGCTGTCCTCTGCGGAGACATCTCTCACTGCTTACGAGCAATCCACACATTTTAGGCTCTCGGAACACAGAGTTCCACTCCTTGAAGACTCCTGACCCAGCTGCCATTTTCACAGCTGTGTGTGTTGGTGGTTGCCATCCCTCTCTTCTCTAAACCCTAAGCTCCATGTGGGCATGACCTGGGTCCACTTTATGCCATTATTATTTTCTCAGTGCCAGCCAGTGATTGAGCACAACAGATGCTCCATCAGTATTCATCAATAAATAAACGAACGAATGAATCAGGGAATGAATGAAAAGATGAACAAATGAAAACTTGAATAGCACAATCTTGCCATCTTATGGAGACACCTGCAACAACCACATCCCCTATCTGGGAATCCCACCTCCAGCCTGGACACTGGGGCCTTGAGCCTTTACAGGAGCCCTAGCCAGGAGCTACACCCATCCAGCTTCCCCTCCCAGGGGGAGGCCAGCAGGGGCACGGGAAGCCAGCTCACTGTCTATCCTGTGTCCTGGCTTAGCCTGACCTGGCGTGAAGGGCGAAGTGCCTCCCCAGTCTGCAGGGGCCCACCCCTACCCCTCCGGGGGTGTCAGCGGGCGCGCCTGCCTCCTGCCGCCCTTACTTCGGCCAGGGCCTCGGCCTCCAGGGACTTGTGGTCCCCCAGGCTGCTGTGCCTGGTGGAACCGCACGTCGACCGCACGCTGTGCCCTTCGGAGAGCGCCTTCTTGTCGGGGTAGTTGATGCTGCCGGCGCTCCCGAACGTCGCCATCCTCCGCTTCTCGGGGCTCTCGATCCTTCCCCGAGTGAGGGGGATTTTGTGGGGGCTGCTGGGGCAGGCGGCGGCCCGGGGCGGTGTGTCTATGCTGGGGCCCAGGCCCCGGGGCGGGCTGTGAGTGTCGCCCCCGCTTCGGCGCCTGGGGATGGCTGCTCCGTCAGATCGTAACCGCACTCTGCAAAGGAGCCAGGGGGCAGGGGCATGGGGCAGAGGTCAACCCTGGCCGGTGTCACATGGGTCAGCCAATCCCCCAGAGTCCAGACATGCTACACACTAGTCTAGGGAGTGGGTATAGTAAAGCCTCATTCAGCCAGACTTGGCGATTCTGCAGTGAAGGACTGTCCAAACGCAGAATTCAGGCCAGCAGGTTTAACCTGCACACACGAAGAATCGGGCCTTCTGCTTCTAAGCTGCAGTCGGTGGTGCTAATTACACAGCGAATCTCATCTATATGTTAAGTCAGGGCCAGGAGGATTGCAACCTGGGAACACTTTGCTCATGGTTAGTTGGGTTCATGATATGTTTTTAAGCAGTTTAGATGTCTCCAGGATTCCAAAGGGCTTCTGATTGGTTTGAGGCATTGAGGCTTGACTGTACCACAAGTTACCAGCTCCCGGCAAGCACAGTAGGGCCCCCTGGGAACTCAACACAGCCCAGTGTTGTCACCCTCCCCAAATCTCCCCAAAGGGCTGTTTTCTATAAGGCTTTTCCAGACCTTGAACATTTCCAATCATTAAGAGAAAGACCTGTATCACTGGAATGCCTTTTATACATTTGGATACCTTTCACCCTTCAAGGAGGCTGTGGCAGAGAGAAAAGGGGCCTAAAGTATCTATCTGGAAGGCAGATTCTTGTCCTGTCTCTGTCACTGACTTTGCAGCAACTTCTTTCAGACCAACTTTATTCATCCGTTAAATGGGTCTAATATTCCTCACCCACCTTCAAGGGAGGTTCAGTGGGTGGGAGACCACTCTGAAGCGGTTCTACCCACCGGGGATTCTGCTCCAGCCTAGGGAGGTCAGCAAAGCCCTGAAGGCACTGGTGAGGAGAGGAAGGCTGGGAAGGGTGCGGGAGTGGGGAGGAGGGACCGGGTGTGGGGATGGATTGTGACGAGGACCAAGCTCAATGCAGTCAGCAGTGCTTTACACCCTGTGCCACCAGCCGAGCTAAGCATTGCCTGTGGTCACCCCAACAGGACCAAAGCATTGGTGCTGGAGTGGAAGAGTACTGGGAAAGAAAGGAGGAGAGGAAGGCAGACAAGGGAGGACAGAGGGAAAGGGAAACTGAGGCAAGAGAAGGTACGGCCCCCCTAGATGTCAAGGGACCTCAACTCTGTCACCCACCTACCCCAACCATACACTTCCCCTGATTCTATCTGCCGATTATCGACACCCTGAACTGAACAGAGTTCGCTGGAGAGAGGTACTGGGACTTCTGCTGAAATAAATCCATAAACCTAGGTTCCTACTGCAGCTAATTTCTCTGGCTCTGTCTGCAAGCACCCAGTGTGTGGGTTGATCCCATGACCTCTCCACCAAAAACAGAGAATATGACATTTTGAGGATCTGATTAAGAAAGCAGTGAGAAACTGCCAACTTTTCTTTTTTTTCCTTATTGTTTTTGTTTTGTTTGAAATCACCAAGTGCTTTGGACTCTACCTGTAGACAGAGTGAGGAGCCTAGCTCCTTACCTGGCAGAAAGGTCATGTGACAGCCCCGCCCACACGGGAGTGAAGAAATTGGCAAACACACTCCCACCAAATACGTGGGTGGAGCCGAGTGTCAATTTCCCCCCACGCATTGTGTATGAGACGTCTACTTACGTGGTGCGCTTCAGCGAGTAAAAGAACTTCACATTTTAAAATATAACAACTTAGGTTTTCAACACAAAGTGGGGAGGAGGTGTAAGAACTGGAGAGAGAGGAAAAGTACTTGCCAATCTGTAACTCTCCCTCCCCATGTTATTGGTATTTTAAGTAAAAAGGATTGGTTGCCTGTGTAAGTCTCTCCTCTTTCTCCACCTCTGTCCCAAGCTGGATTGCTTTTCTACCTGTCATTCGAGGCCAGTTCCAGCCAGCCCAGCAGGCGTGCCCAGCGTCACATCCTTTGGGGAACAAGGGGCCACGACAGCCTCCCTCTGTCCCTCCCGTGCCCTTCCTTCTCCCGAATCAGACTCGAATGGGCACTGCACGAGCAGGAAAGAATGAACCCGAGTTTCCTACCGGCCCATCACCCCCCCAAAGCCGTAATCCGAGATGTGCTCCGTGGGGGACTGCAGGTCGTTTTTGGAGGAGGCCTTGTCGTCCAGCAGCGGCCCACTGCTGGCCTCGCTGTCGGCCTTTTGGCTCAGGCTGTCAGAGAAGGCGTCGTCCCTGGGGAAAAGGACAGGTGTGAGCTGGGAGGGCTTCGCTCCCAACAACCCGGAAGTACTGAGACCTGAGGGGCCGGATCCACACCCACAGCTCATGGTTGCGCCGCTACCGCTTCCCCAGCAGGAGGCGCTCGGGGGCACCACTCTCCCCTACCTGCTCCTCCAGTAGGCTAAACTGGTCTCTCCAAGCTGCTCTGGGCTGGGACAAGCTGAACACGGGAGGGTGTGGAGGAAAAAAGGGGGAGTGGGCCTGCAAGCTAAGCTCTGGGCACTGAGTCTCATGTGACTCGGGGAGCAGCAGCTTGGGGTTCAGCCAGGGAAGAGGAAGGCATTCCCATCCCTCCCACACCCTTGGCTTTGGACAAATCGGAAGGGGCTGGAGTTTGTTGGGGTGCTCTGTCCACCACCCCCTACGCCCTCTCCCCTCCTCTATCCTTCTTCCTGTCCTTGTCCTCAGAGGCCTGGGGTCAGAAGACCGCCTAGGGTTCTTCTGTTGTTTGCCTGACCTGGACTTCTCTCTGGCTCCAGATGGTCTGCTCTGCCATCAAGATGTATGCCTCTGGCCCCCGCCCCTTGAGGCCCAGCCCGCAGCCTGGTAAATCGTGCAACCTGAGCCGGACTGGAACTCGGAGGGAGTGTATACAGGAACCCTCAAAGCTTTCCCAAGAATGGAATGTGTCGACTTTCTGGGCCTGATGCTGGGGCTAGGTGTTTGGGATGCAGAGCTTTTTTCTTTTTAAAGGCCTAAAGTTATTTTTATTTTTTATTTTTTTTTAAATAGTACCCTCTTAGCTGGAAATGAGAGGATGATTGTTTCTGCCCCTCTCCTGGGAGAGCTATCTCAAGGTAGAGAACAGTAGGCAGTTAAGAGGGCAGTGGGGTGGCCAATGGGTTACAGTGGAGGCCCTGAAGGGCGGAGGTATACGGCAAGATCCAGTGGACGCTGAGAACCAGAGCGGGTGATAAATGCCCTGGAGGCTGTCAGGTGGGCCAGGATGGCGAGCCAAGAGCACCAAACACTGTCCCTGTGGACCGTGAAGGATGAGCAATTTGCTTATATGTTAAATGGAGCACCATTCAAAGGGAGCTGAGACATAATCCATTCTCACAGAAGACCAAGTGTGTCCCAGCAGGGAGAGCAAATCACTGGCATATAATCCAGCGCTAATGTTCCTGTGCCCCTTCCAGACATCACTAATCCATCATGACACTCTTCACAGACGGTCCCAAGGCCCACTCACATGTCCTGTACAACTATGTACTGATGTGGGATGAGCCCGTCCACGCCGTTGTGACGACCCTCCCACCAGTCCTCGGAGGCTCGGTGGTACAGCAGCAGTGAGGCTCCCTTCTTGAAGGACAGCTCCCGTGGGGACCGCCCCACGTAGTCAAACTTGGCGATGGCCTCGATCTGCTCCACTTCTGGAAGGAAAGCAAGGGCAAGAGCATCCATGAGGACAGCAGAAGGCAGCCCAGGAGCCTCAGTCAGAGGGCCCCGGCTCCGTGGGGCAGCGCAGACAGCATGCCTGGTGAGAACAGCATGAGCTGGGGCTCAGGATACTGGGCTCTAGTCTCAGATCCGCTCCCTGTGCTGTGACCTCAGGCAGGCCATCTCACCTCCCAAAATGGAAAGTGGGGTTGAAATACTACATCCTTACTTTCCACTGCTCCTTTTTAACATTATAAAAATAATATAAGAAATTTCTTTTTCTTCTGTCCCTTAAATACCAGCTCTGTTTCCATTTTCCCATGAACCCTTTCCCTTTTTGTTCACATATCACACTGTTGGTGGTTCTTACCTTGTAGGAGGTCAAACAGATGTTGTATGTGGATTCTCTTCCATGTAAAATGTAGTATACAATTTTTAAAGGTTCCCAGAAGCTTCTCTCCAGAGCTCATTGTTATAGACTGAACTCTGTCTTCCCCCAAATCCCTATGTTGCAGTCCTAACTCCCACTGTAATGGTATTTGGAGATGTGTTTAGGAAAGTAATTAAGCTTAAGTGAGGTCATAAGGGTGGGGACCTAAGATGATAGAACTGGTGTCCCTCTGAGAAGAGGAAGCGACATCGGAGAGCTCGCTCTCTGTCTCTGCATGGGCACAGTGGAAAGGCCATGTGAAGACACAGCGAGAAGGCAGCTGTCTACAAGCAAAGAAGAGAGGCTTCAGCAGAACCCAACCCTAATGGCACCCTGAGCTTGGACTTCTAGCCCCCCAAACTGCGAGGAAGCACATTTCTGTTGTCTAAGCCACTCAGTCTAAGGTATTCCATGATGACAGCCTGAGCTAACATGCACATCTATGAACTTAATTTGGGGGGAGGGAGAATTCTTACTGGGGCTACAGGTCAAGCATATCTCTTTGCATACGCACCTCTCCCCATCAGAGCTGTATTCTTCTCTGCTGAGTAACAGGCCCTGCCTGGGTTAACCAATGAGAACATAGTTCTTGTCCTTGAAATATTCCTACTGCCCAACTCTGTCACCTCTTGTTTGTGTAACCTCAGGCAGGTTACACAACTGATGCACACCTCAGTTGCCTTTAGAGGATTAAATGATAAAGCATGAAAGAAAACATACAGATAGGCAACAGGTATACGAAAAGATGTTCAACACCATTAATCATTAGGAAAATGCAAATCAAAACCACAGTGAGATATCAACTCATACCTGTTAGAATGGCTGTTATGATAAAGACAACAAACAAGAGTTGGTGAGAATGCAGAGAAAAGGGAACTTGTGCACTGCTGGTGGAAATGTATATGGGTGCAGCTACTATAGAAAACACTACGAAGGTTCCTCAGAAAATTAAAACCAGAACTACCATGTGATCCAGCAATTCCACTTCTGGGTATTTACCCACAGGAAATGAACACATTTAACTTGAGAAGATATGGTGCAGACCCCCATGTTCCCTGCGGCACTATTTACAATAGCCAAGATATGAAAGTAACCTAAAGGTCCATAGACAGATAAACAGACAAAGAAGACTGGTGTATAGAAACAATGGGAAATTATTCAGCCATAAAAAGATGGAAATCGTGCCATTTGCAACAGCATAAATGGACCTTGAGGGCATTATGCTGAGTGAAATAAGTCAGACAGAAGATGACAAGCACCGTATGATCTCACTTACATGTGGAATCTAAAATCAGAAACAAACAGAACTCGCTGATACAGAGAATAGACAGGTGGTTGCCAGAGGTGAGAGGTGGATGAAATGGGTGAAGGAAATCAAAAGGTACAAGCCTACAGTGGATAAATAAGGCATAGGATGTAATATTCAGCAGGATAAATAAGTCATAGGATATAATATTCAGCATGGTGCCTAAAGTTAATAATACTATGTTGTATATTTGAAACCTACTAAGACAGTAGATCTTAAAAGTTCTTATCACAAGGAAACAAAATATAACTGTGTGGTGATGGATGTTAAACCTGACTTATTGTGGTGATCATTTATATATATATATATATATATATATATATATGTATGTACGTGTGTGTGTGTGGGGGATCACTTTGCTGTACGCTTGACACAGCAAGGATGTGAGGCAGGGTCTTAGAAGCGTCTTCATTCAGTCCCTGAGTATGAACACTGTCAGCTGCAGACACACTTCAGGCATTCCCAGCGGGTGTGAATATATATATATATATATATCTCAAATCATTATCCCATATATCTTGTATTAATAAACTGTTATATATCAATATATCTAGATAAGAAGAAAGACTTCAATATATTAAAAAAAAGAGAACATGTGAAAGTTCTCAGCATAGCACAGACATACATTAAGTATTCAGCTTATAGCGGCTCTTGTGATTTTGACTATAATTGCTAATGGACATGAGTTTGAGCAAGCTCCAGGAGGTGATGAAGGACAGGGATGCCTGACGTGCTGCAGTCCATAGGGTCACAAAGAGTCGGACATGCCTGAGCGACTGGACAACAACAAAAAGACAATGGCTTTAGCTTATGGGGTGGGACTAGACAAAGAAATCTGCACTGCAGAGAATTTAAGTGTTTTGCTGAAGGCCATGCAGCTAGTGATCTCTGGGAAGGGGACTTTCGGGGGAGCAGGACAGTTATTTATGCCTACAATTTGTGTTAAAGCCTGTACCCTAAGAGATGCAAATGGGTAGAAATGCTACGGAGAAAATGGGTCATGTATAAATGTTAATGTGCTTGTATTTTAAAGCAAGCACAAAGATGTTTAATACTATAAAAAGAAGACACATGCATGTACCTATATAAATAGACAAATCTATTAAATTCTAATAAACAAAAGAGTAACAAAGGTGGTGCCTGCTCTCGCTAGCCTGCAGATATCTTCCCGGTGCTGAGCATCCATCAGGACTGTCTCTTCTCTTGTCCTCATGGATTATCTTGATCCTGTCCGTGCACCCATCCACCTGTCCGTCATGGAGCTAAGCCAACAATACCTGGCTTTACCACCTTTTTGTTTTTACCTGGGTGACCTGAAAAATTTAGTTCTGTTTTCTAAGTCTCAGTTTTCTTATCTGTAAAATGGGAGTGATAAGAATAGTACCCACTTCATAGTGTTGTCATAGGACTAAACAAGTTATTACACATGAACAGCTTGTAACAGTGCCTGGGACACAATTAGCTTCATATGAGATGTAGTTGTTGCTGTCATTAATACCAGAGTTAATGACTCCTAAGGGCCATGGACAGCATGGAAGTCATCTCTCCCTGTTATTCCCCACCCCACCCACACACATCACAGAGGTCTCTTCTCTGTGAGTAGCTGGCTCCAGAAGACTGGGCCGGTGCCCCCGTGAGATGCAGTGGTCTTTGGGTGGACCCAGTCCTCAGTGCCTGGGACAGCCCGCTGTAGACAGCAGGCGTCAGACAGTTAAGCCAGCTTTCCCCTGCTGGTTCCCTGACAAGTGTCTTTGCAAGATATTCTGACAAAGTTGATGCAAAATGACAGACCGGCTATTTAGGATCAAATAAACTCAGATCTTGACTCATAGTCACCTTCTCAGTGAAATGGAGAAATCTCTGTACTGCTGCATCTTTGACTTCACACCATCCCTATGTGAGCAGCACCTAGTAACCTATGTATCTGCCTGGCTTTAGAGAGAGAAAGGCCAGAGGGTTTGCAAGGCCAAGAGCTGAACCCCAAGGGCTGGGTGCTCCTTGGAGTGACCCCAAGGGCTTCTTCTGAGCCCACCCTTTACTCTGCTGAAGGAACTGCCCAGGGCGGAGACTTGCTTAACTCCACCAGCTCCAGCAGTCACTGGTGGTAGACTGGAGTGGGGGGCGGGGGAGCAAGGAGAAGTGGAAAATGTAAGGGGGAGAAAAGAAGAGATGAGGAGCAGAGCTGAGCTGCAAGCTGAGAGAAAGCTCGTGTGTTTGCAGATGTTGCTGTATAATGGTGTGGGGTAGAAACAGGGATAACAGCTACCATTTATTAGGAAGTCTGTCATTTGGGTTCATCACACCTAAAATAGAACAGCTTACCAACTCTCCCACACACCCCTCCCCAAACTTGCTTCATCCCCTCATCTTCCCCATCTTAGGAAACAGAACCACCATCTGCCGACTCCCTCAGGCCACAGAAGCTAACTCATCAGCATTTCCTTCGAAATTGTCCCCTGAATCTGACCAGCCTCACCACCTCCAATGCCACCCTCTCCCCGCTGGTCCAGACACTACCGTCCTTCTACCTGGCCACCTCGCCTCCATTCAAGCTTGGTAGAGTCGTCTCTCCCCACGGCAGCTGGAGGGATCTTTTAAAATCATAAATCACATCCTGAGACTCTCTTGTTCAAATTCCTCTGAAGGCTTCTCTCCGGTGGGGTGAAGCCTGCCGGGAGGTCCTGAGGCCACAAACCCCTGTGCCCTCTGTCCATCCCTCTCCTTGGTCCTGGTGCCCACAGCACCCACCACCTCACAGTGAGGAGACGGGGCGGCCACACAGCGGGTGCAGGCTGACTGACAGTGACCTGAGGCCCCAGGAATGCTGCAGGGCGGCGCCTGACCTGCCTCCCCACAGACACGTCTGCCTCCACCAGCAGCAGCCCCAACAGGTCTCAGTGCTGAGAAATCAAGCTATCTTGCTGGACAAGAGGCGTTTTCCCCCAGTGGAAGTGGAAGAAGAAAGCCTGAAAGCAAGATCTAGATCAAGAGTTGCACATGTGTGTATGCACACAGGCACATAACCAGCAGTCAAAAAGCAACAGATGGAGAGAACGAGAAGGGGGCTATTAAAAGTGATAGAGGGAAAGGGGGGACTAGAGCTGGTAGGAAAGAGAGGGCAAGAAGGAAAGAGAAGAGCAAACCACCGCAAACAATCAGAAGGTGGCAGCCTTCATATCTCCTAAAGGAGGCTCTGCAGGACGTTCTTCTCAGCTCAGGGTGGCTTTAATCGCTAAGAATTCTAGCAGAGCTGAACATCACGCCCCGATTTACTTTCCTGCCCTACGACCCAGGCCCGACCCATCACCTCCCTCTCAGGCCACAGTGACTGATTCTTGCCTGGGTGCATGACTCGAGACAGTGTGGTGAGACTCCAACCAAGGGACTCTACTGGAATCATTTTGAAAAGGAAGCTCTTTGGGTAAAAGGACAATGAAAGCCTGGAACTGTCAGAGACCACCGCAAAAGGAAGATCCCCCCAGAGGATGAAGTCGACACAGGGAAGCAGAAGAGCAAGGTGGAGACACATCCCTGACAAGGCCAACTAAGCTCCTGGATCCAGCCATGCCTGAAGCCACACCTACCCTGGGACTTTCAAGTATATGGTCTGAATCCCTTTTATGCTTACGTCAGTTTCAGTTGAAGGCTCTGTGACTGGCAACAGAAATAGTCCTACTAGAATATGAAAACCCACCTATGTAAGAGTCTTGCCTCTTACACCAACTCCCAGGAAACTCACCAGAGTACAACCCAGCTCTCTTGACCAAAATGGGGGCTAACAGGGCCTGGGACTGCCCCCAAGAGAAACACAAAGGCCAGTAAGAAAACTGCTAAATAATGATTTTTAAACAGTGAAACTATCACAGGGAGAAAGGAGGGCTGTGTTCAGTCAACACAAGGCAGCACTGGGACATTCAGGCCTGAGGTACCCTTGCTTGCCCAGGCCCCTTCCTCCACTAAGAAAATATCAACACTCTGTTTTATGACCACACTGATATAAAGATGAAAATAATCCAGGCTCATATTCTTTTTAAAATTCTTATATTGAAATGAATTAGAACATTCTCATGGGCCCTGAAAGCAGCACTGTGGGTCCTGGGCAGTGGGCCTGATCTGCCTAATGGAAACGCTGGCCTCAGGCCCAAATCATCCAGACTGCCTGGCTACACGGTTCACGTCCCCAGAGGTGAGTCTGATGCCATTTCCTTAACTAGAAGCGGTGGAAGGTCTGAGGTGTCGCTCAGAGCCCGGGTCAGCCTTTTCCCTCTACCTGCACACCCTCGCCTGGGTCACCACTGTCTGGCCTCGCCTTCGGGGAGCCCACTGCACTGCTCGCTCCTGCAGTCTGGAATGATCACCCTGCATGGTGGGGAGCAGCCCTCCCACAGCCAGGGGACACGGCCAGGAGCTGCTTGATGACCATGTCTGGTTCATCGTGGGCCCCACATCCCAGCACATGCTGGGTGCAGAGCAGAGCCCAGTACGGGAAGGGGCAGTGGACAGAGCCTGCTTTCTACTTAGGACACCCTGGTCACTTAGAATCTGCACTCAGGCCAGGCAGGACACAGAAGGGGAGTAGGCAAGCCAAGGGATGTGGTGAACTGGAGGTCTTTCTGGGTCTCTCCCTGCTGTACAGGATGATGTGCTGACTGGCAAGGCTGGGAAGGTGGGGGGTGGGGGTTGCACAGATCAGCGCAGCAGGTGGGCAGGCAGCATGGGAGACCCCTGGGTGAGTGCCTTGCCCTGACTCCCATGACGCTCCCAAGGAGCAGGCTCCTCAGGGCTGCCTCTCAGAGTGGCCTGCAAAACCCACAGCAGCCCAGGCAGCCAGCAGGATGGGCATAGGGACAGAGTGACTCCAGGCCTGAAAAATTCAGCATTAATGCATTGGGGTAATTTCATCAGCTGCTGCCCCTTCACTGGATTATAAACTTCTTGAGGTCAGGGATCATTTGCAGAGTCAGCCGATCAGTTTTTTTTAATCAAGCCAGTGACTGAGTTCTGATATATTAATATATGCCAGGCATGGCGCCAGGTAGGAGGCATGCATTGATGCATAGTTTGGACACAGACCCTGCTCTCATGGGCTGAGAAATAAAAGTGCCGCAAGTTGAAATGTGTTATACAGGCACGAATGAGGTGAGACAAGAGCTCTAAAGGGTCCTACACGGGGTGCCAAGGAAGGCTTCTTGGAGGACGTGACATTTACAATACCATTTAAAGGAATATGGGCTTTATTGTGAAAAATTCTCTTGGATAAGGTCCAGACTGCACAATGGTTTAAGACCTTTCATAACCTGGCTCCTGCTGGCTCCTGCAACACTGCAGTCCCCTTGTCTCCTGCAACACTGCAGTCAAACAGAAATGCTTTTTATCTGACTGCATGCTCCAGGCCTAGCACAATCTTTGCCCAGTCTCACCTGGCTGAGCCCGGTTCATCCTACAGGTCTCAATCAAGTCACTGCTTCCTTCAGTCAGCCATTCTAACCGCCCCACGCTGGCTCCGGGGCCCCTACTCCTAGCACTGCCTGCCCCCTCCCCCGCCGTGTCAGGGGTTAATTCTGGCTGGGTTACCTCCCTGTTGCCCAGCCTAGGGCCTGGCGCAGGACAGATTCTCAGTAACCATACGGGGAATGAACATGTTGTTCCCTTTGATGAGACCCTCACAGCCAAATCCTCCTTTTGGGCTTTGAAAACTTGTCCAAAATTACCATGTAATTAATAGTTAATGGGGCACAAACGGGATTAAAAAAAGCATGGTTATTATATGTAGTGCTTTGGTAAGTATGCTACGATCTGTAGGTGTCTTCACAGAACACTAATTATATATATATATATATATATATATATATTGCAGCAAGAAAAGAAAGCTGGTAATGGCTGCAAAAACTATAAAACTGAAAAGCTTTTCTCTGTCCTAAAAGTATGCTTGCTAGCTGTTGAATCTCTGTTACAGGGACAAACCTGCTCCCAGGGCCTCAAATGAGATTAGAGAGCAGCAGGCCCGGGTTTCTATGCAGGGAGGTGTTGCAGAGAAACGATAAAGCTGGAACGTTTCCCTTCTTTGAAGCAATTGCCCAAATGTGCCCACAGAACTAAAAGAGGCAAGAGTCCAGGAATCCTCTGATCATCAAAACGCAAACTCCCCTGTAGTACCTGGCTGAAAGCAGTGTGGGTAATACCTAAATAGACAGCTGAGTGTTGTCCTGGATTGGGAAGGAAGAAAGACTAGGAGCCCTTTGGCCTCTGTTGGTTGGTGTTCTGAATTTTCCACCTCCACCTCATCTATAAAAAATGTCCTATTTTCACCGCATTTTAAGGTTTTAGCCTGAGGAAGGTAGTCAGGCCTGAGTTTGATAAGATTCTAAAATGCTCCTCTCAAGGGACTTCCCTGGTGGTCCAGTAGTTAAGACTTTGCCTTCCAGTGCAGAGGGTGAGGGTTTGATCCCCAACCAGGGATCAAACCAGCTCCCCTGGTTGGGGAGCTAAGATTCCCACATGCCTTATGGCCAAAAAATAAAAAACCATAAAAAAAAAAAAACCAGAAGCAATGTTGTAACGAATTCAATAAAGACTTTAAAATACTAAAAACCATCCTTAAAAAAATACTGAAAAAAATAAAAGACACTATTTTCCCCAAGACCCAGCGTAGCACCAAGGCACACAGAGGTGCCCAACTAGCACCCGTCGACCTGGTGTGGAGCTCTCCAAGAATGTGAACTCTCTCTGCCAGAAAAAGAGGACTCTAGGTGGGAGAGGACAAGTGTGGGAAGTGGCGTTCTCAGTTCAAGAGGTTGAGATGGGGATTATCCACTGCCCTGCTGTCTGAGATGGGCTTGCAGCTCACCTAGCCAATGACAGCACTGCATCTCCTAACTGATGTGATTAGTTCACCAGACCCAAGCTTCAGGAAGAGACATAATACTTGAGTTTGTGTTGAGGCATTTGGAAAGGAAAAGCTTTATTTCCACTGGGGATGCTGAGAGAACAGGCTCTAAAAACTGGAGTTATCAGGTGCCTTCTTGAAACTACCAAGGGAGAGGCTGCCTGGAAATGAAGCCAGCGTAGAAGAGAACAGAGCTGGGGCTGAGAACTGCAGGACTGAGTCCTGACGATAACAGTCGAACCCCCAGATCCAGCTACACCCGTAGCCAGGATCCCAGACTTTTTATTTAAAAGTAAATTCCCATTTAGCTTAAGCCAGTTTGAGTTATATTTCTGTCCCATATAAACCAAGAGAATCTTGGATGTCTCTATCCCTCATATAAGGCTACTGTGAAGCTCAGATGAGAAAACACATATAGGAGTATGCACTAAAAAGCAGTAAGAAAATCAAAGGATTTCCCACTATTCTGGCATAACAGCAACAATAACAAGAACGGTGATGATAATAATATTAAGAAGAATGGAATCTTACCAATATTCTTCCCCTCCAGCCATGCATTTCTCATACACAGGTCCCTCTAGCTCCCGGGGGCTGGGGAAGATGGCTTCATGATGGATGATGATGGTTTTGATGACTTCGTTGACGTGTGCCTGGCAGGACACAGGGTCTTGCCCATCGGGGATGTGCATGAGGGTGGGCCCAAAGCAGATGGCCAGGTTGTAGGGATCCATCATGTTCTCGTCGCTATACTGTGAGAGGCTATGAGAGAGGAGCACCCATGAGCCACCAGGGAAAGGTGAATCTTCCCCTGTACTTTCTTTCTTTGGGGTGCTCTACTCAAGTTCAGGAGGGTTCTATGTTCTGCAAAAGCCCCAGGACACTCCCCTCCCCTAGGAGGCCAGGGCTGAGTCAAAGAGGGGCCCTTGTTGTTCAGGCAACTCACTGGTTGAGGAAAGCAAAGAGGTATCTCATGACCACGATGACCACGCGGGGAAGGGTGATGAGGATCTGTTGGATCTGGTGCACCCTCTCAGCTGGGTTCTCGAGTTCTGTAACAAAAGGGGCTTTTCAGGGCACCTTTCATCCTCACAGACTCATGCAAACAACATTTGTGAGCCTACCTGTGAGATCTCTGTGGCTCAGATGGTAAAGAATCCGCCTGCAATGCGGGAGACCCAGGTTCAGTCCCTGCGTTGGGAAGATCCCCTGGAGAAGGGAATGGCAACCCACTCCAGTATTCTTGCCTGGAGAATCCCATGGACAGAGGAGTCTGGTGGGCTACAGTGCATGGTGTTGCAAAGAGTCAGACACCACTGAGTGACTGACACTTTCATTTTCGCCTGTGAGATCAGCCCATGTAGTTCGGGGGAGGCAATTTTACTTGGTTCGAGAGATGGAAATATGACCCTGGCATCATGATCCCCTGGACATGGGGCGGGGCCCAGAGAGGGGTCCATGGCCTAGTCAGAACCATCAGGGTTGATCCCTGGGACTTGGCTAGAGAAAACATAGAGAGAAGTTCCCTCTTGAAACCAGGTAGAAGAGCAGCTGGGGGCTCAGTGGGAAGAAGATGATTCCCAGGAGTGACGACATCACAGACACGGAAGGGACTGACTCCTGTAGATGTCATATGAGGTCTGGGTCCAGCTGGGCCTAAACTTTTCAGGTGTATGAGCCAATATATTTTCTTTTACAGGTTACTTTAGTGTAAGTTGAGTTTCTGTCACCTACAAAGCTATGAGTCTCGACAAACACAAGCAGGGACCAGGTTTTATTAAACTCTTTAAAAAGATCAGCTGCAGCACAGGCCTGGCACAGAGTAGGTGCTCAGGAAATGAACACTGAATAAATAACCACCTCCTGAGCTGTATGTTGTTCAAAGAGCCTGGTGATGCTTGGGATCTCATCTCTGACTCCTGTTTTCAGGTCAGCCCTAGAGATACAGACATTTTATCAATCAAGCCAGAGCTGGGGGCAGCAGATTTGACTTGGTAAAGAGAAAAAAGTGCTTTAAGGGCTTGTCTCTGTTGAGAGAGAGAGCTCGTGCTAAGAGTGAGCTACAAAAGCTGCAAGGATTATCTGCAGGGCTGATGCATAAACCCAGGTCAATTTCCTTTTCAGACAAAAACATGGTTTTCCCTCCCAGTGTCCCCTCCTCTCTCCAGCCTCCACATTTTGTCAGCACGTTCCTTCAAAAACACAGTTCTCTGCCTTTCTCCTCTGTATCCAAGGCCCTTCATGATGGTGCTTCAACCACCCTTGCCTGCTTCATCTCTCAGCTGCCACCCCTTCTCAAAGTATTGGAGCCACGTTTCTCAGATGAAGTGGGAGGGGATTCCCGGGGCTCTTTCAAACATGCGGGACATTCTCTGGGGTTGTCACAGAGACGAGAGGATGCCACTGGTATCTGGGATCCAGGGGCCAAGGTGCTAAGTGTCCTGAGTGTGTGGGACACACAAAAGGCACTGCTCTACCCTAAATGCCAGGGGTGCCATGGAGAAGCTGCAGGCCACCTTATCTACTTTCCCCCTCCCGCCAAAGGCTCTCCTACCCCAGGCCTTTGCACACACTGGTTATCTCTCTTCTCTGCCCAGCACACTTCAGCCTACTTTCATTCACAGCCTGATGCCTCACCCAGGCCTCCACACAGGGGAAGACTCTCACACATACAGAGTCCACTGTCCCTCATTCAGGCCCCTCCATGTCCGCGGCTTCAGTCACAGTGCCCTAGACCACCTCCATCACCATTTCTTAATACTGTGTTCTTGATTTTCTTTTAAAAAGGAGACTTCACCCCACTCTTCAAATGAGAAACCAGGATCACTTGCCATAGTTAGACGGTAAGATAAAAATAGATACAACAAAAGCAAAACAGAGCTACCAAATGATAGGCAGACACTGACTTACATACAAGTTTCTGAGCCTGAGGCCCTGCCCTGTCTGATCTGCAGGGAGACTGACTTGTATGGGTCACTCCTTGATGTAATCAAGGCTTTGGGAAGGAACTGAGGAAGGACTTTCTCTCTCATCCTGTGATTCAAGGTACACAATGTCATGACCTTGTACCAGAGGCTGAACACTGTGTCTGCTGAGGGCCCTGCCCTGGAGCTGGACTAGAGGAGCTTCTGGAAACAGCAGCTGAGCAAGGGACACCAGGCTCAGACAGAGATGTGCCTTTGTGGCCTGGGATTTCTGAGAGGTGGTCTGGAGCCTGAAGTGGATCTGGAAAGATGAGCAGGAGGTATGAGGGCAGAAGGGCGGATGGAGGAAGCATCTTTCACTCAAGGCAAATTAGAGGGTTCAAGCCTCCCTTGGCGCTTATCACCTCCTGGGGCACCTTCTTGGCTGCAAATATCCCTCAGAACATTGTGAGAAGCATCCATATGTGAACCTGAGTGTGGGGAAACTTTTCTGCAACTCAAAGAGTTTATTTCAAAAAAGGGTTTATTCCAAAATACTAACATTCTAGTATGCTAAAATTAGAGGTTTATTTAAAAATAAATATATTTCCAAAAGGTTGCCTTGGATTTCAGCATCTTACAGTCAAGGTGCCTTTACTTCAGCTCTGAGATTGGACTCTTGCCTTTATCCACAGAAAATACCAGCCAAGAAGGACTCTGATGGCTAGCAACATCAGAGGAAGCTGCCAGTCAATGTATTTTTTTTTTTCAGCCAATGTATTTTTTATCATTTCCCTTGTTTGTCATGTTGTTGACCTCACTCCCAAACCTTCCGTGGCTCCCTAACGCCCAAAGGGAAAAGCTCTGGAATCCTTGCAAGGCATTCAATGTCTTCTCTTTCTTGCTGCATTTTACCCTCCCAGTCTCTTAATACCATGTACTGGGTGGGACAACCTCCTGCTGGTCCCATTGATCTGTGTGTCCCCAACCTTCCCAGGACCCCCGAGTCCAGCCCTCCTGAAAGACTCATCATTCCCCCTCGGGTGTGAACTGAGAATCCAAGGCTCCCTTGGCCTCTTCTCTTCTGAGCTCCTCCTATACCCAGAGGTGCACCGTGCCCATCAGCCCTTCTGTTATAAACCATCTTGTTATTTCCACAACTAGGTTTTAAGTTCCAGGAGGACAGGAGCCATATGGCATCTTTCACAGCACCCCTCCTGCAGTGATAAGCCTGGAGTGCCGCTCCAATAAAGATTTGTCAAGGAACTGATCATTCCACTGAGGAAATACTTACTAATAGTAGATATCAAATCCTGAAACCTTTCCTTAGGAAAGAGTGGGTTTTCCAGTCCTCGGAAATACAGTTTTAGAACGCCAGCAACTGAATTGATATCTCGTTCATTTTGGTCATCCACAAGGGGGTCTTCACCTGAAAGGAAACAGGAGATGATGATTCAGTGTGGTTAGGAGGCAGCATGTGTGCAGATGGCAGGTGAGGGCACCTGGCCCAGCCTGAATTGGAGGACAGGCAGATGCAACAGCCTCCCCAGCACAGTATATTTAGAGGCCTCCCTATAACTGATTTTGAAACTGTTCAAATCTATTAAAATATTGAGGAATGAAAATAATGAACATCCATCACCATACACTTAAACTCATCTTGCCATATATGCTTTCTCTCCCTTTTCTCTCACTTATAATTATGATTGCTCAATTATTTGAGAGTATTCTATAGACATTATAACACATCACTGCTAAATACTTCAACTCATTTCTCCTAAGTATAAGGATCTTCCACTGCATAACCACACAACACACAACACTATGGCACCTAGGAAAATTAACAAGAGTTCCAAACACCATCTCACGTACAGACTCTGCTCAAACGTCCCCCCATTGTCCCATATCTGTCATAGAATTTTTCTAAAGCTAAGATCTAATCAATATTCACACCATTCATTCAGTTGTTATGTTTCTTTAGTCTTTTTAATGTAAAATAGACTCCAACATTTTTATTGTTAGTTTGCCTTTCATAATATTGGCTCTTCTGAAGAGTCCAGGCCAACTGCCTTGTACAATGTCTCACACTCTGGATTTGTCTGACTGCTTCCTCATGATCAGAGTCAGGTTAAACATTTTAGGCAAGAATGCTATGTACACGATGTCTGATCATTGAGTTAAGGTGGTGACCTCCAGATCTCTGCATTGTAAAGGTATAATTTCTCCTTTGTAATAATCAATATAAATAAAATATAAAATATTTTTATAAACAGTAGTGATCTATGTGCCTACCACCATACTCAACATATTTTACGCAGTGTTTTGGGCATCCGATGATCATTTTTGTCCAAATCAATTATTACCCTGGGGTCCCAACAAAATGGTGATTTTCTAATTCTATCATTCCATCTATAATTACTAGCTGACATTCTTCTACAAAGAAAACCTTTCTCCGTATTCCCTCCACCTTCCTCTTTTTTTTTTTTTTAACATTTTATGGACTTGTTTTTATAATTTTTAATTCAATGTGTTTAACCCACTACCCACTATTCATTAGGATGCTCAGATTTGGCCGGGGGGAGTCCTTTCTTATGTTCTTTTGATGTGATCTCTACTGATTACTTCCTTGCTTTCTGGCATAAAAGATATCTCTGAATCCTTGTACTTTCCTTGACCCAGACCTGTAATAAAAAAAACTTCTTCAAGGAGTTCTGTTTGTTTTTTGTAGGGAATGGTATTTAGAAACCAAGATCTAGGTTTTAGGTGTGTTCATTGCTATAGGACTGTTAAAAAGAACTTCCAGGTTCTTTCAGTAAATACAGTGTGTGTGTGTGTGTGTGTGTGTGTGTACATATATACACACACATATATATTACTTTTCATGCATTCACACTGATGTTGATCTTTCTAATTCGTATTTAAGATACAAGGTTTTCTTTACCTTCACTTATTTTGTATTTGCATTTCATTTTTCTTACAGTGAAAACTTTTTCTGAATATTAGTGATATTTAATATTTTAATACATCTGCCTTATTCTACAATATACATAAAGTAGTTTCAGATTTTTATTATAATAACAATATTACCACTAACAATAAACCTACCACATAAAATTTAAGATTTATTTGCTGGGCTTTTGTTTTTATCTTTGGGGTTCTCAAAATGTATCTCACTAAACATGAATGATCAAAAAACAGAAAGTAGAGGGCTTCCTTGGTGGTCCAGGGGTTAAGAATCCACCTGCCAATGCAGGAGACACAAGTTCAATCCCTGGTCAGGGAAGATTCCACATGCCAAGGGGCAACTAGGCCTGTGAGCTACAACTACTGAGCCTGCACTCTACCACCTGCGAGTTGCGACTACTGAAGCCTGCATGCCTTGGAGCCCAGGCTCTACAGCAAGAGAAGCCAATGCAATGAGAAGCCCATGCACTGCAACTAGAGAGTAGCCCCCACTCACAGCAACTAGAGAAAGTCCTGGTGCAGTAACAGAGACCCAGCACAGCCAAAAATATAAAAGATGAATACATTTATTAAGAAAAAAGAACACAGAAAGTAGATTAGCAGTGGGGGGGCGGGGTATAAATGGTATAGGGAATAACTACAAATGGGTACAAGGTTCTTTTTAGGGAATGATGATAATTTTCTGAAATTAGATTTTGGAGATGATGCCATTGTTCAGTTGATAAGTACCGTCCAACTCTTTGCAACCCCATGGACTGCAGCATGCCAGGCTTCCCTGTCTTTCACTTTCTCTTGGAGTTTATTCAGATTCATGTCCATTGAGGTGATGATGCTATCTAACCATCTCATCCTCTGCCGCCTTCTTCTCCTTTTGCCTTCAATCTTTCCCAGCATCAGGGTCTTTTCCAGTGAGTCAGCTCTTCGCATCAGGTGGCCATAGAATTGGAGCTTCAACTTTAACATGAGTCCTTTCAATGAATATTCAGGCTTGATTTCCTTTAGGATTTACTGGTTGACTGGTTTGATCTCTGGATTGACTAGTGATGATGTACAACTCTATTGATATATTAGAAACTACCAAAATGTACACTTTAAAAATAGGTGAGCCTTAAGGTATGAAATTCAATAGAGCTGTTAAAAACTGTATGACCAAGCACATGTTGAAAAGTTACTCTCTGTATGGTTCTCAATCTGATATACAGCTCATTTGTTTCTGTTTATATTCAATTTGGGGGATTTTATTTTTTTATAAATCTTAAATGAAACTTCGCAATTTTGAAAAAACATTTATGTGGTCCAAGAGTCAAAACCAGATATATTAAAAAGTTGCTTGCAGAGAAGCCCTATTCTTATCTTTCTCCCACCTACACCTTACATTTAACCATTTTCATTGGTCTCTGATTTGTCCTGCTATCTTTATTTCTGCAAAAGTAAGCAAATACAATACATATATACAACATTTTAACGTTCCCTCATTTCTAACACAATGGAAGTAGTATCTTCTATTACTACATATACTTGCTTGTTTTTTCTCTTAACAGTAAATCTTAGAAATCCTTCCATGTCAGTTCACAGGAAGTGTCTCATTTTTTAAAAAAATGTTTTTATACTAAGTATTTTACTGTATGCTGCCACCAGTGTATATAAAATAATTTCTTGTGAAACAGAAATTCATGAATATTCAGCGAGGTCGACATTAAGGACTAACAGAAGTAGAAGTCTGTATAGTATGGCCTGTGTTACAGTGAGAGACTTTTGTACAGGATTCAAGTTTAGCTTTCCTTTGAATATTCACCGGTTTATGAAAAGTGGTTTTAGAAAAGCTTGTAAAGATTCCTTTTGCTGCAAAAAGGAACAGACTTTCTGGGGTCTGAAGGGGTCTGCTCAGAGTGCCTGAGCATTCAGCAGACAGAATTGTTTCAAATCTGCAGCTGCCTGGGAAAACCTTCACCCAGTCAAGTCCAGCCTCCAGCCGGAGCTGTTGAACCACTTTCTTCACAGTGGCAATGCTGGAGAAACCAGACATGGGGTGCGCGGTGCAGATCGGCGGTCCACTGGCCAGTGGGTTCACTGGGCCAGGCGCTGGGGCTGTCCCCGTTTTGTTTAATGGCTGCAAAGTACTCTGTTTCATGGATAGATCATAACTTAGTCAACCAGTCTCCCACAGATTGACATTACAATCTTCTGCTGTTACTAACACTGCCAGAACAAATAGCCTCCTAACTATGTTTCCTATTCCTACCACACGTCTCTGTGGTAGGTTCCTGGAAGTGGGATTGGTGGGTCAAAGGGTAAACTAATGTGTGGTTTCATCAGATAAAGCCAAATTCTCCTCCAGTAGGGCTGCACCATTTTTCTCCTCCTACCAGCAACACAGGAGAAGGCTGCTTCTCCACAGCCCTGCCCGTGGGATGTCTTTTAAAATTTTGCCAACTGCAGAGGGGAAAACATCTCAGGAGAGCAGCACTTCTTAGTTTCACGGGGGCTGCTGGAGCTGGCAGCAATCTGACACCTCCTTCAACCTCCTCCTCCTTCCAGAACAGCCCAGAGCAATCTGAGACTGGTAAGCAATGATGAGCAGGATGGGAAATTCATACTTGGATCTGAGTATACTCTGCCTCCGTGGGAAGAGAATATGTGTGAGTGGCAGGCCTCGGTTAGCCCCAACATGCTTTAGTGCAAATTAGAGAAAGCACCCCACCCCTACCCCTTTCTGAACCAGGACATGCACCTTCCAGGGCCTGAGCCAGAGTTCAGCTCCCTCCTGCCCTCATGGATGAGTACCCTTGGGCAGTGCCCAGCTTGAGCGACCATCCATGTGTGGCAGCCCAGGCACTGCATTCTACCTCTCAGATGTTCCCACAGGAGGAGATGAGAATGCTTACCCCACAAGACTTTCTCATGGGGAAAGAAGAGAGAAAACATTGGGGAATATATTACTTATACTGATATAGCACTTTTTAAGTGAGAAGCACACTGGCACACGTGCTGTCTCTTAATCCTCACAACAGCACCGCACAGCACCAAAGGAGGCGTGGTTCCAGCACCACCCCTCTCCTGAGAGAAAGCTGAGGCTGCAAAATGAAACAACTTGCCCATGGAGTCAAACACAGACACCAGCAGCTCCCAGGTCTCATGATGCCTGGGAGATATTCCTTCTTCTACGTGTGGTTTTCAGTTCTGTCTGCTGCCTGTCTGCACATGTGCCTATATACCTATTTATGTATGTATCTATTTATCTATCTATCTACCCATACATCTGTCATCTTCCTTCCTTTCCTCCTTCTCTCCCTCCTTCCTTTATAGTGGAAACCCAACTTTTTTTTTTCTTTCTCAAGAAAAAAGTTCCCACAGATGAGCAAAACCGCCTTGATTGAATTTAGAGAAAGGTCCAAGCCCCACCTCCTCTCTAACACAGCAGTAACCCTGAGGCTCCTCTGAAGGATCAGAAGAATCTGAAAACTCTGTGATATATTAAGCTGTTTCCTTGTTGTACCATGCATTACTATTGTGGTCTCACGATCCAAAAGCACATGAATTTTATTCCCTTCATATAAGCTCCCTTTGTCAAGCATGGTTAACATATTGACTACAGACTGACAGACACATACACCATTCATTCTTGCTCTTCCTTCCAGAAGGCACTTCATGAGCCACCAGGGAAGCCCCTCATTCATAAAAGTGAAAATGAAAGTCACACAGTCATGTCCTACTCTTTGCAACCCCATGGACTATACAGTTCATGGAATTCTCCCGGCCAGAATACTGGAGTGGGTAGCTTTTCCCTTCTCCAGGGGGTCTTCCCAACCCAGGGATCGAACCCAGGTCTCCCGCATTGCAGGCAGACTCTTTAACAGCTGAGCCACAAGGGAAGCCATCACTCATAAAAGGAGCCATCAAATATTCCTCCCTCCTAGTCCAGGCCTTTGGATCTCTGCAAGACTAGCCAACTTGGCTCCAGAAGAGCTCAAGACGAGCAGAGTGGTGTGTGTGAATGACGGCTTCCTCCAGGGAGAATCAGAGCTAAAATTCCAGGCACATACGAGAGAAAATTGCTGTTCCAACTTTGCGAGCTAGTTTCCAGGGAGGGAGGTAGAATCATTACCGAACAGCCCTGCCTGCACCCTGCTTTCAGCCAGGTCACCCAGGCACTGCTGAAAGGCTGCAGGCAGGGCTGTGCCCAGGGGAAAGTGAACACACAGCACGTGCTCAGGGCTCTAGGGGAAAGTGCTGCTGGATGGGGACGTGGCAGGAAGCCCACAGGTGGTCTCAAGGGTGGGTCTCTGCAGCCAGGACCCTCCCAGCCCCATCTTGAGGCTCCGCAATATGACAACCCCTCCCTGTGTTTCCTGCTCACACCCCTCTTCCTTGGGCAGGAAATAGATCTGAGAAAGACAGGTCCTGAGTCTCGAATGTGTCAGACCCTATGTGCAGTGATTTCAGCCCCAAATCCAAATTCTACCTTGATCAGTACAGGGTGAAAGGGCCATCAATTCCTGTTCCAGCCACCCTTCCACATAAGGAGAAATCACAGTCAGCTCTCTCATCTTTACATAGAAAGAGGACAGGAGAACTGGTTTGTGGGGAAAACAGAGACAGAAGACTAGCCTGGGAGACAACAGTGAACCACTGTTCCAAGGCTTGTTAGGACCAGAGAATTCTAATGTGCACATCACCCCTCCAAGGCACCCAAGCAAGTGACAGGAGGTACTGACCTTAGAAATCACGTTCAGGAAGGAAAGAAAGCAGGGCTGCTGGGGTTGGGAGTGGCTGCCTGATACAACAGGGTGCTTACTAAGAAGACACTGGCAAGTAAGAAAATGCAAGGGGGTTGGGGGCAGTCAGCAGGCTGAGGCACCAGGCAGTGAGTTTACTCATGAGATACAAGGAGTTCTGTATAGTGGGATGCTCCCAAGAACTAGCAAAGCGTCCAGAGGGTCCAGCTCTGCTCACTTACAATGAACACAGGGCAGCAGGGGTGCTAAGGAGTCAAAGCAAATAAAGAAACCAAACCCTGGCTGGGCTGGCTGGCGATGCCGAGAGGAGCACATGGAAATGAGGAACTTCCAGTCCTATCCGGGAGGATACCTCTTGCTTGGTGGGCTTTGCACATGCTGTTCCCTTGGTCCAGAATGCCCTTTCCACTCTTCCCCTGATTCTTAACTAAGAAGACACTGGCAAGTAAGAAAATGCAAGGGGGCTGGGGGCAGTCAGCAGGCTGAGGCACCAGGCAGTGAGTTTACTCATGAGATACAAGGAGTTCTGTATAGTGGGATGCTCCCAAGAACTAGCAAAGCGTCCAGAGGGTCCATCTCTGCTCACTTACAATGAACACAGGGCAGCAGGGGTGCTAAGGAGTCAAAGCAAACAAAGAAACCAAACCCTGGCTGGGCTGGCTGGCGATGCCGAGAGGAGCGCATGGAAATGAGGAACTTCCAGTCCTATCCGGGAGGATACCTCTTGCTTGGTGGGCTTTGCACATGCTGTTCCCTTGGTCCAGAATGCCCTTTCCACTCTTCCCCTGACTCTTACTCTTCAAGCCTCAGCTCAGGCATAGCCTCCTCCAGGAAGCCATCTGAGGCGTTTCTATTCCTCCCCCTTCACCCAAGCTGAGCTCGTGGCTCCCACCCACCACTTACCCCATCCTTGCACTGATCATGCTGTTTACCTTCCCAGCTAGCAGTGACTTGTCTCTTGTTCCTATTGTACTTCCAGGACCCAGTCCATCACCGAGTGCAGCGCAGGGCTCAATGGAGGCTTGTTGAGTGGATGAATAAATGTTTCAGTAGGAGTATGGAGCAGGGCAGTTCTGGAGCTCTCTGGTTCTAAGCGCCCCAGATCCTGGAGTGGAATCTAAAACCTAAGCTTCCTGGGACCCTAGGAGGTCACTGAGAGCCACATCCAGCCCAACCCTGCTCTCCACCCGGTTCCACGCCAGAGTGCCCTGGGATGCCAGGCTCTGTGCTGAGGGCAATGGGGGCTGATGTTTCCTCCACCCTGAAGCTAGGTCTCAGGATAGAAGCAGGAGGACAGGGCGAGGGTGAATCAGGCCTGGCAATAAGTCAGGAGAATTCTAGGGCTGGAACTTCAGGGGGAGGCCTGCTCAGAGCACAACCATCAGGGACAAAGTATATACCTTCCAAGGCTATTTGTAGGATTATATGGATGAATGGGTAAGAAAGTGTTTTGTAATTTGGGAAGTAGTGTCCTGTGAGGAAATGGGTGTGGGATTGGGGTCCTCAGACCAAACTTGGTATTTAACCACTCAGAAAGAAAGGCAGTAAATCAGAGTTGAGGAATAAACTATGGAGATACGATACTTCCAAATGCTGTGAGACCACAGCAGAGGTATTGCTCAGGACGCCCCAACACTGGCTTTTCTTTCCTCCCCAGGATGGACTTTGTTCAATAACCAGGGAACGTGATGATAGAAGCGGCTTCCCAGTTGGCACTAAAGTACCCTCCTGCCAGTGCAGGAGATATAAGAGGCATGGATTTGATTCCTGTATTGGGAAGATCTCCTGAAGGAGGGCATGGCAACCCACTCCAGTATTCCTGGGGAATCCCATGGACAGAGGAGCCTGGCAAGCTACAGTCAATAGGGTTGCAAAGGGACAGACACCACTGAAGCAACTTAGCATTCATTCATGATGTAGGAAAATATTTCTTTGAACAGAAATGCCCAGACTCTAAGATTCACTATAGCAGCAAGATATGCACTAGTATCAAAATGGCAGAGCTTTTCCTGACCCTATGAAGTCCTGACTTTGCACAAACACTGCCACTGGCCATCTGTCCCATCAGGGATCCTGAGGCCAAGGGAGGCTAAACCAAGTAAGCCACACTCTGGTGGACATTTGATTTCTGATAAGCTTTTATATCAAAGTGGGAACTAGGTAACCTCCCCAAGGGGAACGGGGAGTGTATGATCTCTTCCTCCCAATGCACAGCTTTGCCAAAAACACTGCAAAAAAAGTAAGAATTAAGACATTCTAAGCCACTCCATATTATCTATATTCTTCCAACTTTTCTAAAACACAGAAGCCTTTACAGATTCGCATAATAATTCCAAAGCCCTCTTTCCCCAGCAACCACTGCAGAATCCATCAGAGAAAGTCACCCAAGTGTGCTGGTAATTATTCAACAGTGGGAAAAAGAAAAATTAAAAGGTTTTAGTGTTGCCCAATTTCTGTGGTGTAAACTCCCGCCTTGGCTGATTTCAAGTTACCAAGGTAAAGTACCTCAAGGTGAAGCTGGAAAGAGATGTTGATAAAAGCTGCCCCAGCAACACTGGCTCCAATAAACGCGTTCATACCCACCCTGGCTTCCTCTGGACACAAGCTGGAGATGATCACTCCGTACTTACCTCTCTCAAAGGAATTTTTGATGTCATTGACTTCGACCTGAGATCCTGGCACTCTGAAGATGCCTTGCTGCTGGAGTCCTAAAAGAAATAAACAAAAAGAAGGAGAGGAAATGCCTTGAACTCATCAGACCACTGGGAACATGGATGATTCTCCCCACTACTTGTCTCTTTCTCCCATCATCATTTGTAAGAGTCATTCCCAATAGCCGTCTCCCAACAGAAGCCCAAGAAGAGCCTTTACAATGAACTGTAGATGGTCCAAATTCTCAGCCGCATTCTGCTTTATATGTCTATGGCCTCTTGTTCAGGCTTGACGGAAACAAGAAATTTGTATCAACACCGGACCAGTGAATAACTTCCACTTTAACTCCCAGGTTAGCTCAATCAAATAACTGGGTAGTGAAATGCTGCCTACCAAGTTCATCAGTTGCACTGTTCCAGGTAGCTTGACCTGAGTTAACAAATGCCACTGGGGTTTAACAGTCACAGAGATTTTGAACAACAATGATTAATACCATTCCCTCAACCATCCCCTCGCCCATCAGAGACTTTGTCTTTCTTCAAGAAAATCTAGAGTCTAGAGCGTATGCTGACTTGGGATCGAGGAGTTTGGGGAAGGTTAACTTACTAAAGAAAAACGAACTCATTTGTTATGTGTTTCTACAAGGCCATAAAGAAGAGCAGACCTTGCAATCTGACACAGCAGTAACAACAAAACAGTGACCTACAAGCCAAGATTAGAGGACGTCGCTCATCTGAAAAGGAAATTAAGACTGGGATCCTTTCCCTGAGATTCAGTTTTCTATAGCAAACAACTCTCCACACTATAATTTACAGAAGTGTTTACCCTTAAAGGCAGGCTTTAAAGTTCCGTTTGTATATAAAGAATGTGCTCAATAAACGTCGTTCATTTCTTTTGTTAACCAATGCTGAATTTCTACCACCTGGGTCTCTTGCCCCATCCTCCTGGCTCAGTCCTGTCCAGGCATGCTGGTCTTGCTCCCCATATTAGGCCTTGACATTCAAAACACTCTCTCCACCTGGACTGCAAAGGTTGGCTTCTACTCAGATACCACTTCCTCGGAGACGGCTCTCCTTACAACCTTAGCCAAGTCAGCCCTGCCCTCCTCGAGCCATTCTCTATCCCCTTAGTCAGTTCTTAGGCATCATCAGTGGCTGAAATTTGACTACGTATCTCTCTGCTCACGCATTCCCTTGCCCTTCTAATTGGTCATGCAAGCTACGAGGGCTGGCAGCCTGCTTGTCTTGTCACGGCTGTGCTGCCATTGTCAGAAACAGTGCCTGCTCTGCACTCTGCAAATATATTTCTGGAGGAATGAATAAATAAATAGATGGAGGCACACATTAAGTGCTGGGAACACCACGTAGCAAATCCCAGACACTCTCATTTCCTTCATGGAATTGCTACCGTCTAGCAGTATTAGCCGATTGGATGGCCAACCTCAGTCAACGCTAAAACTGCAGAGTTCTGGGCTTGGGTGGGAGTGAGGAAGGAACTAATATTGTTCTCCTGTGACCCCTCCCTGGCCCTCGGTGTTCCCAGTTCCCAGGTCTTCTCACCACCACCTGCAGTCCCCCCAACACAGAAGGCTCAACAGACAGCAGTCAGAATAGCAGCGGTTCTACGGAGCTTTCCCCTCCCTTAAGGACAGCAGGAGCAGGAATCCACCAAGATGAAGACCTGAATCTCATCTCTTACGGAGAACAGCCTGGCACCCGTTGAAAGAACTGGAAACACTGCCCTGAGATTACGCTTACCGTATAAATTGATGTATCGGATACAGCTCTCGACGACCAGTGGTATAGCTTGTCCTGAATCCTTAAGAAAAAAAGTCGTGAGTTGTATTGGACTTGGCAACCACCACAGGATAGAAGACACTGCAAACACAGATTACGAACTCAAGCCAGAATATTAGTACCATCGGATTAGTAAGAAAACAAGCAAGGAACCACTAATTTAAAGTCTCCACAAACAGTTAAAACAGAAAGTTTTCTGTTATTGCAGAAAAGGCATAGTTATGATAATTTAAAAGAAATGCTCTGTCTCCTTACTCAGCTGGGAAGGAATCAGGGCTCGGGAGGCCTCACAGGCACATGGCAGGAGGGGAGGGAGCCCACTACATGGAGAGAGCTAGAGTCCGCTCTCCAGGGCTTCTCTGCCTCCCCCTCCCCTCCCAACTCAACTCCGTTCTCCCAGCACTCAGGGAAGGAGCAAGGAACTCTGCCTAGGACTGTAGGACCTGCTGTCAGGACCTGCTGCCGGCATGAAGAAGGGCACAATACGGGAGAAACAAGGCCGGCCCCAGGGGTCCTTCTGAGCTCTGAGAAGGGAAGACCAGCTCTACTCATGATGTAACAACCTAAACATCCAGACAGGTAACTTGGTTTAACAGTACATGTTACAAGGAAAACTTCTAGAAAAAATTATTGTCAGCCACTGACCACTGAGCGGCCACCTTATTCAGAAAGGTTGACTAAGAGGCAGCTCTAAACACATGTATCTGGGGTGTCAATGTCAAGTTCAATGACATTTCCCTAGGCTGGCCCAAGGCCACAGAGAGCTGGGCAAGGGATCATTTTCCTTTGGATTCCATCATTGGTTGACCCTTCTGCTATTTAAGGCAACTTACAGAGCACACAATCTTAAAAAATAAAATAAAACAAGAACAACAACTCTTTTTTAAAATGGGCCAAATTAAATACTAGCCTCCTCAGAACGTGAGGAAGCAGAAGGCATATGTACTAGTATGCTCACGTAAAAGGGACAGGGGAAAAAAACATGAAATTGGATGGTTTTGTGGCTCCTCCACACCCCATCTGGGAATTCTTTCCTTAACTAGAGTCACAGAGGGGATAATAAAGTGGACTCGTTGGCAACAGGCAAGGAGGGCCCTGTGCTACAAGTCAGGACTAAAGACAGTTTCCATCGAGTTGAATGGGGCTGACGGACCTTTCCAGTAAATACCTGGTTCCTGGATCGAGCATTTCTTCTTCCTCTGATAACAAAAAATAAACAGGCAGCAGAGCAGGAGAAAAAGAAAAGATTATGCAGGAGTAAGATCAGTTAGAGTAAGCAGATCCTTCAGAGTCCGGGAACGCCGAAATGCAATGGCAGCCAGTGAAGGGCCAGGGAGATGGCAGGCAGCCTACGAGGCCCAGGAGCTAGGGACCTGCCCGGCCAGCCTCCCAGGGTGGCCGCCTTGGACACCAGAGGGCAAAGAGGCCTCTTTCAGCCCTTGTCAAAGTGCAGGAACAGTGAGCACTAAGCCCTTCCCTAACCTCAAGTTTACCTTCTCCTCAACACAGGGGCTGTTTATTCACCAGCAATGAGAGCCCACCTGAGACCCCTCAAGGTGAGCCCAGCTGCCCACAGAAAGGACGGACACACCCTCAGGCGTCTACTGGGACAGTCCCTGCAGTCAGCTCAGAGAACCTCGCTCTTAGCTCTTAGGTAACCAAGACTATGTTTCTCAGGGGCCCTCTGGATAGGACCCAAGGGCAACCTGCCCAGTTCCAATTTCACACGGTGGCCAGTGCTTTCCCACCCAACAGCTGAGACAGCAGGTCCCAGGTACCCACTCAACTTTGATCTCCTTCTGCCCAAGGACCCTCACTCTGGCACTGAAAAAAACCTCAGGGAACCCAAAACTGACAAAACCTGGAGTGAGGGAGGGCCATACAGTCAGAACGCCTTGGCAATCTTGCAGACAGAAGCAGAGCCTTTGCTTTCACTGAAGCCGCCCATTTGTAGGGGAGAACTACCTTCTTCTTTCTTCCCGTACAGGCAGCAGGTCAGGCTCTGGGGTGCGTGCTGTGTCTCACTCGGCTCCTGGGGAAGGCCACCCCCCTGCCTGAGAATCAGGAGGATGTGAACCTCCTCCCCGGTGTCACCCATCCAGCCCCTGGCGTCTCAGCTGCTAGGATTTTCCTACATTGGCTGAGCCCACCTGAACCTAGGACCACAGTGACAGATGGTCAGGTGGGGACCGTGGGCGCTCTCCGGAAAGCCAGGCAGCACTCGCAGCTGACACTTCCCTGGTGCTTACTCTGTGCCAGCCAGAGCTCTAGAACCTGGCATGAGCTACTTATCTGATCCTCGTCACACACTCACGTGTGTGCATGCTCAATTGCTTCAGTCGTGTTCAACTCTGTGTGACCCTCTATGGACTGCAGCCCACCAGGCTCCTCTGTCCATGGAATTCTCCAGGAAGAATAACTGGAGTGGGCTGCCATTCCCTTCTCCAGGGGATCTTCCCAACCCAGGGATTGAACCCGGGTCTCCTGCATTGCAGGCAGATTCTTTACTGTCTGAGACACCAGGGAAGTCCCCTTGTCCCTCTAAACCCTCATAATCATGGCATTTCCATGATGTTATTATACTGACAAGGCTTTCAGAGGTTTGGCATTTCAGAGATGGGGATTCTTAGTTCATGCTGAATCTTCAGATAGCACAGGAATCATAAGAGGAAATTAAATTCCGTTCACAAAGGTTGAAGGACTGAGCGCATCACACTGCCTTTTCAATTTCTGAGAGTTAACCATCCTTGAGATTTGGGCCCCGCTGCTGCAGTCTGGCCCAAACTGAGTTCAGAGAGGGCGCACAGAAGAGCTGGTTGAACTGCACTGATAATATGTGGTACAAGCACATGTGACTACAAAGAAATGCAATCGCTTAACAAACAAACTTGTTTCAGTCAAACTATCCCCTGAGGAAGTTGTGCTCTTATTCCAGGGACGTGCCCTCTCGAGGGTGTCCGTCTCTGGGGGCTCTTTTCAGAGCCAGTCTCCTGGCGCCCAACGCATCCTATACCTCTTGCCATTCTGTGGCTCCAGTGGCTGCAAAGCTGGACTCTGAATGACACTTCTCATTTCAAAGACCGTCCATTCGAAGACAAGGTTTTGGCACCACTGACAAACACGTTTGTTGCAGGCTTGCGGGAGACTGACCAGGTGCAGCAAAGCCTATAGATTCAGAAGGACTGACTTCTTCCAAGGGGCAAACACGCCCGTCGGTGTTTTGTTTGTCAGGGGAGTAAAGTCAGATGACTTGATTGTCACACATTTTATGTAGGAGTTCTCCATTCAGAGACTGTTTCACTAAACAGAACACCTTTGCTTTCAAATGCCATCGGGTGAGAGCGCCTTGCAAGCGTTCTGACAGATAGCCTGTTTCCAAAGCGCTAAGCGTCTTCCAAAACAGGTCCGTGTCTCTGAGGTTTCGCTCATTCTCTTCCTGCTCTCAGCAGCTCCTCCATCCATTCTCCCCTCTGCCGTGTTCCGACACTTCCTTCAATGCTGCCCCTACCCCGATGCTCACAGCTCTTCCTGGTCTAGAGTGTTCACAGAACTTCTTTCTGTACCGATCAGTCACCAAGCACTCATCTTGAATCATCCTCCACATTCAGCTTTCTGCATCAAAAACCTCCCGCGTGACACAATAAGGTCGCTGAGGGCAGACAGCAGCAAATGGGGCTCAGCCTCCCCTCAGCTCTGGAGTGCGATTTTTTTGAGAAGGAAGTCTTGTAGAAGCGAGGAGGGAGGATGAAGGAAGGGCCCTCGACACAGCCCTCCCCTCCCGTGACCTTCTGGGTGGCAAACTGCTCACTCGGGGTCACCTCCAAACAGCACCCCTTTCCTGCTGTGCCAAGCAGCAACACCCTGCATGTTGGGGTCCTCCAGGCCTCCCTCCTCTGAGGCATCTGAGAGCAGCCGCTGCTGTTTCCCACCCCTCGGGCACCAACTGGGGCCCTCCCGTCCCCTTTTCCCTCTCCCAGAACTCAGTTCACAGGCAGAGACAGTCCTGGGACCCAGGCTGATCCTGCCCACACACCCACACCACACAACCACACCCCCCCACCAAGAACTCCGAACAACCCCCCGGCGGAGGAAGGAGAAAAAACAGCAGCAGAAGAAGCAGCCAACAACACAAAAAACGCCCAAGCAAGGCCCGGGAACCCTCAAGGCCCTTTCCCCCGGCCCAAAAGAAGCCTAATTTCCGCAAGCAAGGGCCTTGGTAAAACGGGGCCGGCCTCCAAGAAACGGCAAGGAACCTCCCCCCGCTCCTCTAAGTAACGAGCAGAGTGCATCTGCCCTGAGGATATTTCCCACCTGCTACCCTTCCCAACTCCATCACCATCTTAACTTGCCTTGAGCTGTTCTATCTGGGATGGCTTGATCCTGCACCCTTAGCAGCTGAGAAGCAAGAACAGAGAAACTCACTGAAGTGAAAACCTTCCTTTTCAGTTTAAGGTGTCAAGGGTTAACCTGGGGAATTCTAAAGGGACTACTTCATCTCTTTTCCCCTCTCCCAAACTGCCTCACAAGAAGCAAAACAAGGTGGAAGGGTTGTCTCTAACACAAATCATATGTGTCCCCTGTGGGGCTAGACTCACACCTTAAAAAAAAAAAAAAAACCACTTGTGTAAAAGTACACTGTTACACAGAGTAGGGTTTTCCTTTGTGTTGCTTCCAACCAGTCTGCTCCTGGGAGACGTGTGTGTGCAATGGGAGGTGAGGGGGTTTCCCTAACTGTCCCTCAGCCTGGTCAGGACTGCAGTTCCTCAAGCAGGGGAACAGGGCTGACAGCCCTCCCCACCGCCCACTCAGTCAGGGCTGAGAAGCAAGGGAAGGCACTCTTAGAAGCCACTGATCAGAAACATAAGTGCCTCTGAAGCTACAAGCAGGCCACCAGGAAGACCAGCCAGCTACATGGCCTGGCCCAGGGCCCAGATGGAAAGCTCTGGATGTCCGATGTCAGCCTGTCAGTAGGTCGGGGCAGGGCTGTTGGCCGGGGTAGGAGGTGGAGAAAGGCTGCCATCACATTGGGCACGTTCGCGGACTCCGCGGCTCCCCAGCAAGTACCTTAATGAACGCTTCCATACAGCCGTTAAATAGTTTATGGGTACACACTGAGAGAGGCCTAGGTCTCCTCATTTTCTGTGGTTTAGGGGGAAGACAGGGGGGCCTAGGGGAAAACGGAACAAAAGAAATCAAGAAAGCAACCAAGGTAAACATACAATGGGGGAAGACGCTATTGTAACCCACGACTGAAGGAGAACACAAAATGCAAATGGAAGGCCTGAACCCCCAGTGCATTGGTGCCCAATGCTCCATCTGAAGGCCTCTGGATGTTCAAGGGTGTCTTAACTGATCCACAGTGTCAGGCAGGACCAAGGCTCATGTAACACAAATGCATTCTACATTATGGGGGGGGGGGGGGCCGGCATTGTCAGGGAAACCACTGAAACTCCAATCAGAGGCTGTCATCCCGCAAAGCTAACCAGATGGAGCGGGAGTCAGGGGTGAGATGTAACCTGTAGCCGAAGAAAGCAAGAGACTTTCAAAGATGATTGGAAGGGTTAATTTTCATTGTTTTGGCTTAAATGTATCACCGAGTCTCAGCTCCCAATGTACCAGGCCACTGATCTTCCTAATGCCACTAAGCATTTCAAATGCACTTGACTAATCTTTATTCCATTGATCTAAGAGCCGGGCAGTTATTATTCTCATTTTAGAGATGAAGAAACTGATGCCAGGAGGGCAGCTGCAGCTTCTTCGGGGGCCCCCGGGTGAGGACTATCTCCTGTCCTTTAGTCAAGTACACTTTCAGTTAGTGTTTTCAAATTCACTGTCATAATTAACATCAGCTTAACCCTGCATGTGAGGCCCCATTTTACAGAGGCCTAAACTGAGCCCTAGAGTGGGGAAGGGGCAGAGCTAGGCCCCAAACTCAGTCTCTTGGGGTCTAAGCCCAAGATTTTTCCCATTGGGTCAGTCATGAAACCTTAGGGCACTTTCCCAAACCCTGCCCAAGCTCATCCATTCCATTAACCCTTGCCAGAAAAGGCCTGGGGGGTCAGGTTGAAAGTGTCTTGCTTGACTTTAAGATCTCCACTCCCTGTGCTCGCTCCACCTCGGCCACAGGGAGGGGCGACCACACCACAGTTCACCAACAACAGTGAGATGGCCACAAACACTGAACCGGTTTCCAGAGTTGCTCACATGCACAGGCCTGTGTTGGCTTATTTGCTCACTTTTCACCACCCAAGTTGGCCTGACTCAATGCTGCCAGCCTTCTAGGTCAAAGGACTTTCAAAGGTTAGGAGGAAGACCCCTAACCAAGAGACACAGTTCACTTTCAACTGGCTTAGCTCACAATTTGGGAGGTACCAAGGGGGGACCCAGCCTGACACAGATAACGTCCATGTGTGACGCAGAGACCTGGGCCCCCCACGTCTTGATTGAGTTCTGTGAATGGGCAATAAATCATATGTGCTGTGGAGCCCATCAAGGAGATGAGACTCACACTGCCTTGCTCACTGGCCTTGTTCGCCTATCTGCTTCAGCAGCCCCACCATCAAGGGAACTCAGATCAGCTTCCTCTTGGTGTCTGAATACTGAGCAAATACTGCTAGCTCCAGGACATGCATGGGCAAAGACACAGTGGAATCCAAATCTCATGCCACCCAAACATTGGAACCAAAAATAACAGCACAGACCAAAACGTCGAAAAGAAACAACAGGCAAGGTTATTTTGAGCCCATCTTGGATCTATGTCAATTTGGTTAGCTAAGTCCATGTCATTTCTTTTTCACAAGTTACTTATTTTTTTGAGGATAAAGGCATGTGAGAGTATTTCTTATGATGGATCTGCTTTTGAATTTACATATGCCAAAGAGAGTGCCAGAAATGTGACAGGGGGCCATAGGTTTTATGTTTAATAACCGGAGGGTAGCAGCTGAGCCACCTCGTTCCCATGGTGATTTGGGTTTCTGCTTTTGAACGTGTCCGATCATTTCATTATCTCACACTGCATGATATCCTCACAGCAACCCTGAGAAGTAGGCAAGAACTATTAAACCTACTTTAAACATAAGGCAAATGAGCCACTGAGAGATTAAGAAACTTGCCCAAGGTCACAGGAATAGAATTCAGCTCTTCCTACTCCAGGTTCTTGTGTGAGTATGGACATGGGGAAATGGGTTTTACCACAGAACACCCAGCAATTGCATTAAATTATCTATTAAACTCTCATGGTCAAGAGTAGAGACTCAATGCAGGTGTTGGACACCAATACAAAAAAAAAAAAAGTATAAGGTGCCTTTAAAATTTATTTCATAAAGTTAAGTCCTAGGGAATTTTTTTGTCCTCGGAGTTATAAACTTTCTCCTGCTCAATGCAGAAAGCAAAGGACTGTTGGAATCACATCTGGATTTCTTCCTTTAGTGTGGTACTCTGTGCACAGAGCAGAATCTCTGACAAGGAAACGTAGCTATCCCAACTTCGCATGACATCAAATTGATAGCGACTTACTGAAGTGCTGGGTGGGGCACAAAGTGGGGAGCAGAGGGGCAGCCCAGCCAAGGGAAGTGGGGCAGCCTAAGCCTTCCATCTCTTCTGCTGCTCGGCAGAGCAAAAGGAAAGAAAGAAAGAGAGAGAGAGAGAGAGAGGCAGGGAAAACAGGAACAGAGAAAGCCACGGAGAGGAAGAAAGAGAAACCAGAGACCAATGTTCCCTTTCTGCCTTCCAACCAAGATGAAAATTCACACACATTAGCAACACAGAACGTGGCCTCAAAATTATTCTGTGACCAAAAGGATGGTGATTTTCCTAGACGACCTCACAGACATGGGAGTCAAAATTCAAAATGGCAGTAATATTATAGTTGGATGGTGGTCAGGCTCTCGGAGGCTGCGAATGGGTGCATTTTTATAGACAAGAAATCTCAAGTGATTCCACCACTAATTCAGATTTGCAGCAAGTTCTAAGTTAGGGAACCCAGTCAATGGTTTGAAAAACCGTAATCAAACTTTACGTTTGCATTTGACTTTGCCATTTACTATACATCTTTCAAGTGTATTATTGTATCTGGTCTGCCTAATTTTTTTTATTGTTTAGTCACTAAATAGTATCTGACTCCTTGAGACCCCATGGACCACAGTGCACCAGGCTTCCTTGTGTTTCACTGTCTCCCGGAGTTTGCTCAAATTCATGTTCATTAAGGCGGTGATGCTAATTACAGGGTTATTATGAATTGGGGCTATTCTAAGATAACATTCTAAAGTGTGAGAAAAAAACACAACGTGTTGCAGCCCATGTGCAAAACTGGTCTATCTCTACAAGGCCAGCGGCAGCTTGTTGAGAGGATCTTCTCAACCAATCATCCAAAATGACACTGACCTTTGACAGAAAACTATGGAGATAAAGAGGGCCACAGTGTAGAAATAGCTCACCCGGGGCATTTAAGATTAATTTTAAAAATACTTCCAAGCTAGCAATGCACTCTACGGTAAGTTAAAAATGATTTTTAGAAGAGGAAGCTTTTAGTTTACTAAGAGAGTTGCCTTTGACCTTGGCCAAGGGCCAAAGTGCAGATGGCTGGATTTACAGCTTAGTACAGTGCAGTGCAGTGTATCTAAGTGGGAGGTCTGTAATCCTAGCTTGGATTTCCCAGGCCCTAGGTCCATGAGGGTGTGGAAGACAACATCTCAGGGGACTTTATTTTTTAAAAAAGCAAAACCCCTCAACTTTTCTCTAAGGGTTTGATGACAGATCTCTCCTACAATCTGCTGGAACCACTATTCCCGCATGAGTTCTAGGAATTAGGAAAAAGTGAGGGATGGCTCAATTCATCCCCCATCTGTTGCACTATTTGCAGACTTTGGTGTAAAATGTAGCTTCTGGTGTTTGGGCACTATGACAACACTCTCTTGCCACAGATAGATTTTTTTTAAAAAATTGTTTTTAAGGACAACACTCTCCTGCCATAAATAACTTTTTTAAAAAGGCAACATTTGCCATAAATAAATTTAATTAATTAATTCATTTTTTAAAAAGGAATTTGTTTCTAAAAGATTCTTAGAAAGTAAGCCTGCACATCTGCTGGCCCACGTGCTGGGAGGGCCTCCTCTGGCCTCACAAATCATCCCAATGTTCCCAGATTGCTGGGTCCCAGAGGAACAGCTGCACCGACTAAGCTTCTGGAGAGGCCCTGGTCTCCTCCGCCCTGGGCTCAGCAAACTCAAAACCCCAGAGCTTTCCAAGCCTCTTCCCAGCCAACTCCATTCCAGATGAGGAGGGAGTTGAGGGTTCATCCTTCTTGTTGCCAAATAGGACAGCTTTCCAGGATTCTGAGCCACTGGGAGGAACTTGTGGGGAAAGGATGTCACTGGGTCACTGGGCCCAGAATGAGGCAAAAACTAGACCTCCGTGGTCACATGATGGAAAAGTGCAGGCCTCGAGGCCACCGCTAAATTCATGTTGGGCGGTGGGACAGGCATGGCTGGGGATGGGGAAACGGATGGGCTCTAAGGTACCCAGGCAGCGATGGGGCTGCTTAGGGACCTAAATCCTCTGCAGGTAAAGGAAATGTCCAGTCCTGAAGTCAAACCCTCAGCTATCCGCTGCTCAGTGAAAGTGTTCACTGGCTCTGGTCTGCTCAGGGGAAAGCGCAGAGGGTAATGGTGAGCGAGCTGGAGAAAGCGAAGCTGTCCACTGTTACTTCTCGAGCAAGGGGCTCCGCCACCAGTCCACCCCAGGGCGGTGAAGTCGGAAGCCAGGGTGGGCAGCGGGGGCTGTGCGCGCTGGTGTGAATATGCGCATGCGTGTGCCCGTGGTGCTGGTGCGGGATTCCGGCCAAATCCAGAGCCATGGCAAACCGGGACCCCGGCCTACTCCGTCCCGTCCCGCACCCTCGCCCCCACCCTCCTCGGCAGTTTGCTCGGCAGCCATAGAACGGATGGGGACACAGGTGGACAGCAACCTGATAGCCTCCGGCTTCTGGTTGCCCTCAACCACTCTGCAATATATATGACGGTCCCTTCCTCCCACCTGATGGTTAGCGCCGCCGAGGGACGACACCCACCTCCCAGAGCAGCTCTGAAAGGCTCCCTCCCTGTCACAGCCTAAAGCTGGAATGAGCAGAGCAGCCAAAGGCCTTTGCCTCCGCTCTCAGCACAGTCACGCCCCCGTGGGGACACTGGTGAGGCGCTGTTCCCTAAAACTTCTGCTCCAAGCTCCAGCACCGAGTCCCACCCTCCCCACCCTTCCTGCGCCTCCTGCCTCCTCCCACTCCCCATCTCAGGCGGCAGGTGCGGGAAACAGGATCCCCGGCTCTTACCTGGTTGTACCGCATTCCGCTCTCTCGCCTGGAAAGAAAAGTGTACATTAATGTTTAATTGTTGGTTTTGTTTTCGTTTTTGCTTGTTTATTTTACTTTTGACCGGTGCACATTCATCTTTTTCTAAAAACATGAAACAACTCACACTTGAACTTAATTATTTATGTAATGGGAAATCTAATTATGCCTAAGGTATGGTCTACTGGGAAGAACTGAGTCTTATTAAATCCTCTGTGCCTCCTATTTGTAGGGCCATGTTCACATATATTTTATTTTTTATTGTTCACATAACAAGGCTTTTGAGGTTCATCCATAGCATGACTGAGTAATTCATTCTTTTTTGTGATGCAGTAGAGAACCTCTAAGTCAGCGCTGTCCCATGGAAATAAAATGCAAGCAACAATTTCTAGTAGCCACATTACAAAACTTAAAGAGAAATAGATGAGATTAACTTTAATATTATTTCAATATGTGTAAATATAAAAAATTAATACAATGTTATAGGTATATGCAGGTGTGTGTGCTAAGTCGATTCAGTTGTGTACAACTCTGTGCTATCCTATGGACTATAGCCCACTATACTCCTCTGTCCATGGGATTCTCCAGGCAAGAATACTGGAGTGTGTTGGCACGCCCTCCTCCAGGGGATCGTCCCAACCCAGGGATCGAACCTGGATCGAGTCTCTTATGTCTACTGCATTGGCAGGCGGGTTACCACTAGTGGCACCTGCGAAGCCCGTTACAGTTATATATACACATATAAACATATGTGTATAGTACTAACTCTTTGAAATCTGATGCTCATTTTGCACATTTCAATTCAGGCTAGCCACGATTCAAGTGTTCAATAGTCACTTATGACTCGTGGCCACTGTATTGAACTGCATTGCTCTAGATTCTAGAATCGCATTCAGTATTCACATGAAGAGACTTTATAAAAGAAAGAACTGAGTATTTATGCTTCTCTATGGAAAACCATATGCTGGATGGAGCTGGAGAGGAAAATGAGGGGAGGAAGACAGTGAAAGAAGTCTGAAAATAAAACTTGGAGCAAATCAGCACACAATTCCTTCATTCCTGACCAAAGCCACAAGCAGTTACAAGAGTTACTGCAGCTGGTTGAACTGAAGCCAAAGCAGAAAAGGAGAAAAGTGAAGTAAAACAAGAAAATTTGCTCTACTCAATTTGACTGTGTGTCTGGGGTCTGAGGCAAATTCCTGCCAGACACCAATTTGAGTTACGTTTTCACATAGACCTAAGACCCCCAGTGAGAGCTGATGGCAACCCACCTAGGAAAGGGTCAGCCAGTGGCCTGGGTTGGCTATAAAACATGTCATTTCCCTTAGGGACAGACACCAATTTGAGTCACGTTTTCACACAGACCTAAGACCCCCAATGAGAGCTGATGGCAACCCACCTAGGAAAGGGTCAGCCAGTGGCCTGGGTTGGCTATAAAACATGTCATTTCCCTTAGGGATGTAGTTAACTGTGCAACTCTGACTGACAGAGGGGACCTAGGAAGAGGCTCCGGCTCCACCTCTTCTTGGACTGGCCCACTCCTCTGTGTACTCACTGTGGTCAAGGTACAGTGCTCTTCTCTTCGTTCCACCTCATCTCATCCCTTCCTGCCTTCCCATAGGCTGTTCCCTCTGCTTCATCACCCTTTCCCCAGTTTTTCATGTGGCAGACACATTCCCACCCTTCAGAAGTCTCAGCTTAAATGTCCCTCCCTTTGGAGACCTCTCTGATCACCCACATTAAAGCAGGTGCCCCACGCTCCTCAACCCCATACACAACTATTCTCTATCTCAGTCCAAATTTCTACTCAAGGACACTTACCGCAGTTATAATTCTTTACTTAATGGTTTGTTTCCTGTGTGAGGTCTCTCTTCCCCAAGAGGGCAGGAACCTTGTCTGTCTTATATATACTGTACCCCCAGTCCGAGCCAAGCACAGAGTCTGTGCTTTTGATGAATGGATGGACAGATGAATGGACAAATAGGGGCTAGGAGGGAAGAAAGGGATAGGCAGGAATCAAAGGGTCTGGGTCCTGGAAGTGGAATGTCAGAACACACTCAAGACAGACTTTGCTCTGGCAACAAATGGAATCGATTCTCCTTCAGCTTTGACTCACATTCCAGCTCTCAGGAACCCCTTTACTAACATCTTTTGAAATATGGTGTTTCAACTTCTAACAGAAATCAAAAATGCTCTGCCCTTTACCATCTGAGACCTCTTGGGATTGTGAAAATATTCTTTATTGTTGGTGGCTCAGTCATTTTCTAGAAGGTCAGACTGTCTGGTCCTGGGGGACATTTTGCTCTGTAATGGACATTAAATCTTGGCCTGAAAAGGTTATGTCTCACTCCTTTTTATAGACAACACACCATCTACACTTAAGTGGCTAGAATAAATTGAAAAAACCACTGTATCTTAGGTGTAAACCCTGGAGCTTACTGATTACCCAGAGCAATATAAAAGGTCAGAAATCTAAGGCTCAGAGATGATAAACTAAGAATTCTCTGGCCAATAAAATGACGTAGCAACAGCCAGAGGCACATAAGGGTGTGCGTTCTTGTTTCCAAGATGTGGCAGTGACATTTGTAACAAGGAATGCCAATTTGCAGGGCACCTAGAAGCATTTTGACTTATATTCCTGGGGTCAATTATGTTCAAAAATTCGCCTCCAAGTGAGGGTGATGCGAAAGACCTAGAGTTTCCTCCAGCTTGTGGTTTCTCTGAGGCGTGCTGTCAAAAGAGTACTTGAGAGAGACTGAGGCATTAGACATGATATTTCATTTCCTTTTTTAAAAATAAAAACCTTGTATCTTTTTTAGCCAAGATATTTCACTTGGCCCCACATTTCTCACCTGTTTTCAAACAACCAGATTATTCCTTCCAACACGAGACAGCTCTCAGATGACAGAAAAAGGCCACTGGTGTGGGTGTCATTCTACTCTAGACCCACTCTCACAAGAACCTTCTACTGAACGGAGGAGTTAACACGTCCAGGTAGGGAGGACTCGTCTGACGACTCTCAGAGCAGTACATTAGGAGGTTCTGAGCTTTATCAAACTAAGTCAGTGCAAATTCGTCCCTCTCCCTCAATGCCCTAAGAATCCACACGTATCTTTATCGTGCAGGGGGAGATACAAAAAAGACTGAAGATTTGGTCTCAGCTTCAGTTTTTTCAGTAATTCAGTAATTTATTAACTTTAGTTAATAATAATTTATCAGTATGTATTAATTGTGACAAATATACCATACTCGTGTTAAATGAAGATGTTAATAATAGGGGAAGTTGAATGTACAATATATGGAAACTATACTGTCTTTGCAACTTTACATATAAAACTACTCTAAAATAAAAAGTTTATCAAAATAAGAAAAAACTTCCCCAGAACTGACCAGTCTAACAAGACCTGTGCCAGATATCAAAAGCATCACAATGGACTTCACTCACTGCTGGCTTGCAAGAACAGGACTATGGAAATTCTTCTGGATGGCTCTTTTTTAGCTGCCATTGTACTTCTGAAGTTGCATTTCCTGTTTCTTGTTGCTCTTCAGCTCAAAACTCAGGAGAAGGACTCATATATCATATCTCAGAGCAAGACGCAGCTGAAGGCTAAACACACTTGGAAGACCAAATGGGTCAAGAGTCACACCAACCAAAACCAATTATTATTATTATCTCATTAACGCCACTCAGGCAGGAGCAGGAATAAAAGCTTGCATCTGATAGCACTCCGAGGGAAGCTTGAGAGAAGCACTTTCTTATCTGGGATCTCATTTTTTAAAAGAACATCTTGTTTTCTCAATCCAGGGTGTCTGATTTCGAAAACACAAGTATTCAGCAACTCACGTGGACCTGCCTTCTGTTAAATGGCTCATGAGAAACACCCCTCAGCGGCCAGTCCCATGATCAGAAAAACCGATCCTGCAAGCTGTGAAAGCTGCTNCATGACCAGAAAAACCGATCCTGCAAGCTGTGAAAGCTGCTCCATCATACACTCATCCAAGCTGCTCTCAGGACTTTGTGTCTCTTCCCTTTCCCTCCATTCTCACTGGTTTGGTTCCCTCTGTGTTATCCACAGTCCCCCATGGTCCCATTCTCCTGGTCCAATACTGAAATGTCAGGATGAAAAGAATATAAGGGTTGCGGGGGGTGGGGGGCAGGGAATGAAGAAAAAGCTCATTGCAACTCACTCTTCCCCACTCTTCCCCTCAATCAATGAGTTCTGTCAAATATAAACACCCATGTCTGATCTCCACCCAAATCAAGAAACAGAATGTTTCCATCATCCCCAAAAGATTCCCAGCTGTCACCAGCTATAGCACACACATCTAGTCTATGGCGACAGAAATCAGATCAGTGGTGGCTTCAAGTGGAGGATGGGGGGTGGTGAGGGTCGACTGCAAAGAGGCACAAGAGAACTTTTGGGCTGTCTCTTTGGGGCTGGAGCTTTTGAGTGCTGGTTATACCTGGGTGTGTGTGTTTGTCAAAACTGATGTCTACACATAAAATGGGTGCATCTTATGGTATTTCCATTATATGTCAATAAAGCTGATTGAAAAAAATTCCGCTGGTGTTAGTTTCAAAGTCCTGGCTATTCCTTTGATCCCTAGTTATTCATCTTCCTGGAAGCTTTTCCTGCTCTTCTGGGCCCACAGTAAAACCTCCCTCCTGGGATTCACAGTCCTCAGAGCCTGCATTGTTCACCTGGCAATTTATTCAGAATTTCTGTGTGATACTGTTATCACCATTTAACTTTTTAACGAACTCAGAGGAGTTGTCTCCCAGCTAGACTGTAAATGCCTTGGCTGGAAATGGTTTCACTCCTCACCGGTCCCTCTCAGGCATGGGCTCACACATGCCAAGCGCCTGCAGGGCCTGGCAGCCCCCTGGAGAAATGCTGAGGGGACGAGACTCGCGTGGCCCAGGCCCAGCCACTACAACGTGCACCCAGAGGGAGAGGAGAGCAAGCCAGCGAAGGGCGAGGATGTAGTGTGGGTGGCCAACACCCGCAGCAGTGACCACCAGCCCCACAGCCCAGCACAGCTCTTGTCCTGTCGCACTCATTCCCCAGAAGACTCCTGGGACATCTCTAAACTGCTCCAAGCTGTCATCCCAGGATCTAGTGGCACTGACCACCTTGGGAAGTCTTTTCACCTCTCTGATACTGGCCCCGTATTTCCCAGACCCCGTGTTTTCTTTCCTGTCAGTCAAGCACATCCTTCAGCCAACAGACCTCTCCAAACAGAACAGCTGAGGGGACGAGACTCGCGTGGCCCAGGCCCAGCCACTACAACGTGCACCCAGAGGGAGAGGAGAGCAAGCCAGCGAAGGGCGAGGATGTGGTGTGGGTGGCCAACACCCGCAGCAGGGACCACCAGCCCCACAGCCCAGCACAGCTCTTGTCCTGTCGCGCTCATTCCCCAGAAGACTCCTGGGACATCTCTAAACTGCTCCAAGCTGTCATCCCAGGATCTAGTGGCACTGACCACCTTGGGAAGTCTTTTCGCCTCTCTGATACTGGCCCCGTATTTCCCAGACCCCGTGTTTTCTTTCCTGTCAGTCAAGCACATCCTTCAGCCAACAGACCTCTCCAAACAGAACATGAGGCTATTCCCAGTGTGGCCTCACAGCTTCAGAAGCCCCAGGTCAGCGCCTCTGCTCAAAGTTAAGCCTCATACCAAGCCCCAGGGCCACCAGGACTTGCTCTAAACCACCTGTGCACTAAAAATACCACCTACCACATCAGTGTGGATGTTGCACCCATCAGCCACTACAGCCAACCGTGATGGACAGCCCCAAGGGAACTCGTCAGGATGGAAACACTACGTCCACCACTGAGTCCTCAGACACTGCAGCCGCCAGCCCTGGCTCCCTGCAATGGTGCACCCCAAGGAAACCAGGAGGAGAAAACAGGATGCTGGCCCCAGAGAGCTGAGGTACATATCAAAGGAACGATTTCAGGGAGCCCAGACTCTTGCACCTTCCCATATATAAAAGAGCCCCAATTCCTTAACTTGAGATGTCACGTTTTCTTCGATTAACAGCAATCCTTTGGTGTTCTGACTACCTCGTCTTTGTTGCAAAAACTCCTAAATGTCCTGGTTCCTCACTTTGTCTCTATGGAACAGTCTCTCAGAGTTATCTAAGATACGGCACCCTGGGCTTAAGGCCTCAGTTTTTTCCACCGAATAAAATATAATTTTCAATTCTTAGGGTGTGCCTTTTTTGTCAGTTGAAACATCCTTGATGATGGATGGTTTCTAGTTCATGATCTGGTGATCTTTCCATTCAACATTCATTCAGTGACTGTTAATTGAGTGCCTACTATGAGCCAGGCACTGTCCTAGGCAATACAGACAAAGCAGTGGACAAAACAAGCAAGGAAGTTCCTACTCTGGCTGAAGGTATCATGCTATTGGGTGTGGAGGTGCGATCAATGACAAGAAGCAGGTGAACGGATGATAAAGAGGGTGAATTCACATGATGACTACCGAGATGAAGAAAATCAAACAGAGAGAGTGTTGGGACAGAGGTGGTGATTCCCTGAGGCTGGGACGGCAGAGTCTCACTGAGGAAGTGATATCTGGGCTGACAGCTGGAGGATAAGGAGCCATCCACACAAAGATATGGGGCAGGGGGGCATTTCAGACAGCAGGTGCAAAGGCCCTGAGGCAGGAATAAGTTGGATGAGCTCTGCAACGCAGGAGGGAGTTCAGTGCAGCTAGAGTACAGTAGGAGAGTGGAGGAGAACTAGATGAGGTTAGGGTAGCACGTGGAGGTCAAATGATTTCAGGTCTCATGTGCCACGGAAGCAGATGGGATTTTATTCCAACCATCGTTGGAAGCTTTTCGAGACTTTTAACTCTAGTCCCCAGGTCCCTCAAGGACCAAACTGTGCCTGACATATGTGAATTCTTCTTGGACCTAGAATCCTGGCCAGGCATTCCACTAGTATTCCTGGCAAACACAATCTGCTAAGAAAGCATCAGTGCAAAGCCCTATGCCCTGGATCCCACCCTTTACCTATTGGGGACCCATTATTGCTTTTTCTGGGACCCTTCCCCACAACTTAAACTCAGACTTGTGTTTGCCCCATAGTTTCTGCAGCCAAACTAGACCCCCTCTCAGCATCTGTACCAGGCTCTCCCCAGCCGGCTTGTTCCAGTAGGTGGCCCCAGTCCCAGACCTCATTCTACCAAGTGCCTGGGACCTCCATCTGTAACAGCTCAAGGGGTCACAACGAGACCCAGTGGGGAGGACCCTCCAGTGCCCGCCTCCAATGCTCAACTCACCTTCGCCCAAAGTCTGCTTGAGTAAGTCATGCTTGGCTTGCAGCTTAGTGATGAGGTTACTGCCGTTCACATACTCTTTAAATTTCTGTAAGACACAGGCACAAGGACATTACAGATTGCAGGGCCAGGTCTCTGCCTCTGTAACAGACCTCGGGGTGGGAAGCCACCAGCAAGGCCTCAAGGTGGAGGGGGGAGGGTCTCTGCATCAGTTCCAGCAGGTCCCCACCTCTGCTTAGCGTGGCTGTCCAGTTCCAGGTCAGTTTCGGAACACAAAGAAAGCTGGAGGAGGTGGGAGATGGGCAAAGTAAAAGGGGCTATTGTCACGTGAGGACGGCAGGAGCTGGGGCAGAGGGCTTTCTCAGCGATCAAAGTTCCTCTGTGCTTCTGGGCCAAGGGCATGCAGCCGAGGCAAGAGCGTGTTATTGGATCTGTCAGAGAGGAGCCTCAGGACATGTCTTCTTTCATCTGGCTGAGAACTGAAGCAGGAAGGGCACTGCAGGCCTCTGGAGACGTTCCTATTAAAATAACCCAAACTGCACTTGGGGGATAAGGTTTTCTTCTTTTTACAGATGAGAAAGGTTAGAATCACACAAGAAGTGATCTGCCCAAAGTTCCTGGGATCCAGGCTACCTCCGGTCCAGGGGCCTGGCCAAACACAGTGCACTCGGGTGCAGTCCAGGGAACAAGGCACCCAGAACAGAAACACATTTACCTGCCCCCAGTTCAGCATGGCCTCAGCCACGCCTCCACACAGGTACCAGCTTCCCTTGGCCCCCCTTGCCCCATGTCACCCAATCACAGGCTGGGAGCCCTCTCTGCTGGGCCAAGAGGCACTGCACGCGTGGCCCACACCAGTTCCCTTCTGGATCCCTGGTGCTTATAGCTGTGCCTGACATGTAGTACGTGCTGAGAAATTCAGCTGAACCCCTGACCTGGCGGCACTGACATAGCAGAATAGGAGAAAGACAATGAGCTAACAAAAATGTAAGTAAAATATACAGTAGGTCAATGGTGGTGAACTCTAGGGATGGAAACAAGGCAGGAATGAGGATCTGGAAGTAGGAACAGACCTCACTGCAAAGCTGCCATTTCAGCCCCGGCCTGAAGGAGGTGAGGAAGGGGCCACGTGGGGGCAGAGGAGGGGGTTCACAGCAGAGGGGAATGCAATTACCAAGGCCCTGAGGGGGAAGGCACGGGGATGGATGTGATTGCCCCAAATCTGCCAGCTAGTTTCTCACCAAAAATCCATTCTATGCCTCAGCCAGGAGGCTCAGATGGAGCACAGGGGAGCAGAGAGGTGAGCCTCGGCAGCTCAGGACATATGGAGCGTCACTCTGCCCGCAGAAGACAGGTGTGGGGTGAAGGCCCACATGTGCCCAGAGAAGACTGAGCTCGCTGAACCCTGCTGCCCCCACCCCCACCCCACGGCAGGTTTCTGGAGTTTGGGCCTTCTTTATTCTTGGCCTTGGTCTTTCTCAGCTCCTAGGGCCTTGTCTTGTGGTTGTTAAGTCATCCCTGTTGTATCTGTAGATGGTTTTCAAACAGGTATATTTGGTCCTCACTGCAATCTCAGATGATCAATGACAGAAGCATCACTGTTCTCATTCTACACAGAGGGAGAAACTGCTTAGAGTAGTGACCACTCAGTGTGTGACCTTGATCAAATTTCTGAACATTTCTGGGCCTCATGCCTTCCTCAGGGTAAAATGAGGAGACTCATGGTGCTTCTCCCAGTGTGGTGCAGGCACCAGCTGGGGAGAGTGTCCACAGGCAGATTCCTGCTCTGGACTCCTGTGAGTCTAACCCTAGGAGGACTCCACAGAAGCCCAGGTGTCCTCACATTTCCAGGGCGCCACTTCAGACAGGGTGGCAGTCTGGAAACTTTTCAAGAAGTTTCTTACAAAATTCAAAAACACACTTCCGTTTGATAGTTACTCACCGAGAGGCTCTCTCTCTGGATGCTTCCAGTGATACCACCCTCTGATTTTATCCTGTGTTCAAGAATTCACCATGAAACCCAGAGCTGAGGTTAAGTAGGTGTTCTCTCCATCCTGCCTCAGTGCCCCAGGCAGGTGAAGCTCTAGTCCCAAACCTGTAACTCGTGCTTTGGCAGGTGACTCACTTGTTAGTGTAAATTACAACCTGGGGCTCTGGGCCCCTGGCTACTGCTTCTATGCTTCACCTAGGCTTCATGTGTGAAGAAAAAAATACCATCAATTCATATTGATATTTGCTTTAAAAGGAGTGTTACATCCTTAAAAATACCTAAATAATGTCACAACATCAAATCATGAGGCGCACTAGCCAGTCAGGTTGATAACTTGAATATCTAAATCAAAGTACAACATCCATGACCCCCATAATGGATGCTGTCTTTTCATTTCAAGCAGGCTGAATTCCCATCTTTGATTCTGCTGCCAAAGTGACTTAATGCCCATCCATTTTCCCCCCTTATCTTTGTAACCCATAAATTCTCTACAAACACAGTATGCCCCCAGTGGAAGTGGTGAACCCCCGAAATTGGCATGGACTCATTCACTAAGTCTCCCTTTGCTTTCTTTTTTGAAAGCAACAAAATTGATCAACGAAATGGAGTATGCATCAACCACTGGCTTTCAACAGATATTTGATGAGTAAGAAATAGAGTTGGATGTTAAAACTGGGTGGGTTTGCCACTGGTTAAATGACCACAATCTAAAACTGCTAATTAATGGATCAATATCAGCCTAATGGCATGTTTTGAACAACTCTGTCTTTGGCCTTGGCCTTGACATAGCAATTCATTTCTTGTTTGTTCGTTTTAACTAATAAACTTTAAGGTACAGAAGCCACCCTTACTGAATCTCTAGACACAAGGTCTGAAGAGACAGCATCTATGATGAGCAACCAGATAAGGCTCATGACAGCTGGAGCCATGAGCTGAATCCATCAAGAGGAAATCAAACTGGTAATAAACATAAGATCCACCTAAGACATCACCTACACATCCCATAGGAGGATGGTTTAATGGCGGTATGCTGAGAATAGAGATTTAACTGATACTAGCTTTAAAAAAACCCAATAGAATGTAATCTTAGGATGTATGAAAAGAGAAGCATAGCCCCTAATGTGGAAGGAGGTGAAAGTTTAGCCCTGTTTTGTGCTGGTCACTCCATTGCTGGGAGTCTCTTTCTAGAAGTACTGACAGAACATGGTCAGGAAAGAGTCACTAGGATGCTGAGGCCACTCAAAACAAAAGCTTAAGAGGCCAGATTGAAACAAGTAGATGTGTTCAGCCTAGAGAAATAAAAGCCCAGCTCCTTGCAACCTTGCCAGACTGTCAAGTAGAATTAGCCTCTCTCTGGGCTGTCCCAGAGAACAGAATTAAGATCAATGACCAGAAATCCTCGTGAGGAAGCTTTTTGAAGATAACAGAGATACAGGAAAACATTATAATGTCCATAGACAGCCACAAGCCAAACAAAACAGTTGTTTGGGGAGGGAGGGAGCTTTTAATCTGGGGCTGTTCAAGCACAATCTGCATGACTCTGGGGCAGGAACTGGGTGGAATAGGATCCAGTGTCAGATGGAAGATCCTCTCCAACCCAACATTGCATATTCACTAAAAACCCATTGAACCAAAGCCCCGATGCCTCTCATCCCTGTTTCTCCCTGGCCAAATGGAATATAAGTAATCTGGGATTTTACATGAAGGGCTGGCAACTCACCAGCTATTTGCAAAGATCACCCAGGGCATTGTTTGCAGAGTCTAGGCCCAAATTTGACACAACTTGACATGACAACCATACACTTAACTTGGGGGTTGTTACTCGGGATGTGCCTCTGGCTCTGTCAGCCCTTTTCCTCTCACCCTACTGAGCACAACCCTCTCTGTGTTTTTTCTAGAACAGGAAAGTTGCAATAAGTGTCAATCCAAGATCAAGGCTGATGCTACCCACTGGTTAGCTCACTTTCTGCACGTCACAAAGCCAAGGCAGACAACTTATTCTGAAAAGCATGTTGGAGGAACTGTAGGTCTAAGTGACCCATGCGGTTCCTCTGGCTGCCACTAATTTGGGCTGTCCCCCAAAAGTCACTGCCAGCGGGGCTACAGACAGCAGGTTCTCAGTCAGGATGCCACTTACCGTAAAATAGAACATTTCTGTCTCCTGCTGGTTGGCTCTCCTCTTGGCGATGTTGATCTTGCTCATGTAGGTCTCGGAGGCAGCCGACTTCACAGACTCTGTGGACCGGCTGTGTTGGAAGGCGTCAGAGACATCAAAGTCCTCCACGGTCAGCATGTCCTGCAACGTCTGCATGGTGGCATCCAGAGTTTTTCTGACCTAGAGAAACACCGCATGTCAACAAAAGTCCCGTAGCCTGAGAATGTCTTTGACACGTCAAAGTCCTTTCCCAATCGTTCCTTTATTTCTTCCACGTAAAGCCCCCAGGGGTAGGTAGGACAAAGGTGCTCACTTCTGTTAACGGTGATGTGGAAAATAAGGCTGGCAGCTGGCTGGGAGGAGAAGCCGGGTCACCTAAGCTCAGTCATGGCATGGGTCTACTTCTGCCAGTGAGAACCTTGGAGAACACTGTGCCCAGCAAGGGACTTGGGTTTTGAGGTCTGTGTCTCTCTACGGTAACACAGCCCCAGAGACGCTCCTCCTGGGGGGGCAGGGCCCTGAGGAGGGACAACCCTAGAAGGACTCCCCGTTCTGCTCATCCCGAGCAGGGAGAAGACAGTCTGGATACAGGGGGCTCCGTTCTCCATGGACAAACTCTCACACTGTCGGCCACGGAGTCCACACAAGCCTGAGAAAAGAGGGCTGGAGGAAGACGGCCCGAGACACGCGCTGCGTGCCCGCTCCTCCAGGCCCCGACTCCCCTCCCAGGACCGAGCGGGCCCCCCGGAGGCTTCATGCACAGGCCCCAGCCTCCCCACAGCCCTTCAGTGGACTGTGCCTAAAGGGCGGACCCGAGCTTGAATGGAGGTGGTTTCAAACACAGTCCTGGGAGAGCCTGCATCCACACTCACTGGACAACGATTGCCGGCCGCTCAGAGTCCCTCTTGGCACTCAGACCTCAACTTAAAAGTCGCCTCCTGGCCACAACCGCATTCTTAACTTGGTGGCTGATACTTTATGTCCTCAATTTGCTGTTTGTTTGCTTCTGTGCTTCCACTCTCACCCGCCTCTTCTCACCAGGCTATAAACTCCATGAGAGAAAGTACTCTACACTATCTGTTCACTCACTTAACTCGGCACTGAACACATTTAGAGGATAGTATGTGCTGAATAGGGCTTCCCAGGTGGCTCAGTGGGTAAAGAATCCATCCACCTGCAAAAGCAGGAGATGCAGGCAGGCATGAGTTCGATCCCCGGGTTGGGAAGATACCCTGGAGAAGGAAATGGCAACCTACTCCAGTATCCTTGCCTGGAGAATCCCATGGACAGAGGAATCTGGCAGGCTACAGTCCACGGGGTCGCATGACTGAAGCAACTGAGCGTGAGCACGAGCATGTGCTGAATAACCATTTGTTGAATGAAGAACTGAGTGACTCAGTTCTTTCCAACACAGCCTCACGGAAGCGCAGGCTCAAAATTAAGCATTTCCCCGGCTGTGAACAGCCTACCCAGAGGAACATGTGCTTCACCCTCCTTTCTGTGGTCCTGACTTTCAACCTAAATTCCATTAACATTATTATACACATACAGCACACGCTGTTCCATGTAGACAATTTAAAATGCTGTGGGGGAAGAGATGGCATAAAAAAAGGAAGAAAACACTCTGTCCATATCCTCTCTCTTCTCAGGTTTGATAAACAAATACATAGCTGGTCTGTAACCTCCCCACAGGGACTTCTTTGATTTGTTCATCCTGAGCTACACTCTGGTTCACGTTTGCCCTGGTTCCATCCTCTTTCAAGACACAAAGCAACCTGCCTTCTCTGCACAAGACAGCCCCCTCGAGGCCCGAAGACCGGGACCATGACTCCCCCTCTCCAGCTCTGACTGCACGTCTCACAGATGGACCTGCCCACAATCTTGGGTGACATCCTCCAACAGGAGGTCTCCATGTGGCCTCATCATTGCACATCAGAACGGAGCCTCCCAGCTGGTGGGAGCCCCAAGCCACGCGCTGCAGGGAGGTGTGCGGGCCACAGTAAGACAGAAGCTCCGTGGGGCTCAGAATCTGTGACACGCTTAGCGTGCCCTGGGTTGTTTCACTGTGTGATTCAAAATACCTACTCTTACTTCTGATGATAAAAATAACATAAACTCACCGCAGAAAAGAGAGGAAAGCACAAAGAAGAAAACAGATATCACCTACATTCCTGTAACCCAGACAAAACCACTACCAGCATTTCAAAGTATTTCCTCCCAGCCTTTATCCTACTCCTGTGAATACACTCAGAAATATGCACACACACTTTGGTGTACCCTGGTTAGAATAGTACTGAACATAGAGTGCTACTGCCTCTTTGCTTTCCTTTAACACCTTGTAAGCATTTCCTGGGCTTCCCAGGTGGCTCAGTGGTAAAGAATTTGCCTGCCGACACAGGAGACGCAGGAGACAGGGGTTGGATGCCTGGGTCAGGAAGATCCCCTGGAGAAGGAAATGGCAACCCATTCCAGTATTCTTGCCTGGGAAATCCCACGGACAGAGGAGCCTGGAGGGCTACAGTCCAGGGGGTCGCAAAAGAGTCAGACACGACTGAGCGTACATGCACAAGCATTCCCCATGCCATGAAAGGTTCTTGGTGGGTATGGTTTTAATGGTTCTGCATCTTACAGACGAACCCTGACTTCACACATCTTCCAAGGGAAGCATGGGCTCCCCCCGAGCAACAGCCAAATCCCTCACGGGGCGGTGGGCTCACTCACCTCCTCGTTCTCAATCTTGAGAGTGGCCAGTCTGGACTGCAGCTGGTGGTACCGCACGAGCAGCTCCGTCTGGACGGGCTGCTGGGCGCTGACCTGGCACACCTGCAGAAACGACAGCCACCACCTGCGCTGGCCCCGGGCCCCAACCTCAGGGGAACTGGGGCCGGCCACCACCAACGTCCCCATCTGTAGCTGCGGAAACAGGCCTGGGAAGGTTACGCCACCTGCCCAAGACCACACAGCTCATCCTGGGCCACAGCAGGGCCAGCCAGGAGCCAGGGGCCGCCCTCTCACAACTCTTGGCTGTGGTCTATGTTTGGGCAGCGCACGACGGCTCACTACTGACATGATGTCGTTAAGTGAGACTAACTGGCGAACTTCCAGGCAGGAAGCTGTGCCTAAGAGCAGCCAGTGAAAAGAAGGAAGGATGGGAAACAGTGGAATGGACCCAGCAGGAAGGACAGGCAGCTGTGCAACAGCGATCCTCTCGCTGCCCTTCTCCCCACGTGGGCTGACTGAGAGAGGAGGGGGCAGGAGGGGAAGACGAGAGAGAGATACAGTTCTCCTACCCCGAGTCCAGCCAACGCTCTGACTACCGTGGGCTGGACTGCCCAGTGTCACCTGGCTGAGCTCATAAGAGACAGCGGGTCTCTGTTTTTTAACCCAACCTTCAGTCACCAGCCGATGAGTCAGAGGGCTGGACACGAGGGGCTGGGATGGTGCGGGAGCTGTGGGGAAGCCTGGCAGAAGGCATCTCTTGCAAACGAAGGAAGTGAGTAAGGCCGAGGGAGGGTCCAGCTAACGGCATCTTCAAAGGTGCCTCCAGGCCCCTCCCTGCTATGCAGGTGCAGTGACAGCCCAGCCGAGCCCCCACCCAGATCCAGAGGCTGGCTGGGTCCCTCTCTCACGTGACTGGGTGGGGTATCTTAGGTGGAGGGAATGGGGCCACTAGGAGAAAGTTCTGGGCACCTATCCCTGGAGGTAGAGACAGGGAGCCAGATATGACACCTGGTGGCTGTCCTCCTTTGTTCCAGGGACCAGGGCCTGAGCCCTGGAGAGAGGGAGGGATGACATGGAAAAGCTCAAGGAGAGATTTTCGTTAGGAAGTTTTGTGAAACTTGAGTAACTAGTGTGCTGCTTTGGGGCTAGTGACAAGTGTCTTTTCCCATTTTTTTTTTCCCCATACCATCATGAGGATGTGAGCAGCACAAGCACTGAAGGGAACTCAGCTGGCTGGTGTGCTGAGGGCTCAGGGTCCTGGAACCCAGGCCAGAGTGGCTCTGCTGAGACCCCACCTTCGGTGATGCAGGACCATCTGAGGGGAGAACGCAAGATGACGCTCTAAGTGTAGGTGTGGGGCTCCCTTGGGGTCTTCTAGACACAAGTGGGAGGGATTTTACGGGAAGCTAAGGTCCTGTGGTTCCGCAGGCAGCGGACTTGAGGCACCAAGATTAGGGGATTAGTGGTAAACTCCTCCGCTGGAGAAGCCCACGCGCCAAGAACTTGACTCCAGGCCTCTGAGCTGACATTCTTTCCTTCCCCCAGTCCTCTGGGAGCAGCCTCGAGCAGGGGCTCCTGGGAGAAGCCTACCTCGTCCCCCATGTGGGGCTGAAACTCGAACTTGAGCGGGGGGCAGAAGACCTGGTTACACATGTCCATGACCGTGTGCTTGTCGCTTCGGGAATCTAGGTTGTCCACGGCGTTCTCGATGACGTCCAGCCCCTCGTGGCGCGAGGTCTCCAGGTTGTACTCGGCTGAGAGGTAGGTCCGGAAGGTGCGGGCCAGGCTGGCATGAAAGCCCAAGTCACAGCACTTGGAGAGAGCACACACAGAATGTGCAGTTGAGGGTGGTGATGTGGAGGGGGGCCGTCACAGTGACTTAGGTCACCTCCTGCTCCACAGTCAACACTTCCACACTGGAAGGCCTCGTGCACTTCGGAATCTCACCATGCAAGTCATGCCAAACCCTCAGAGGGAGCACTGGGATTATAATCTGGGCAATGGCAGTCCTTTTCTCAGCTCCCCAAACTCACCGTGTTCTTTCTAATCTCCATGCCTTCACACACTCATACCATCTGCCTGGAAGCCTCTTCCTTTCTCCTCCTGTCTAAATATTCTTCCTCTGGGTTCCAGTTTAGAGGTCACTTCTTCCAGGAAGCCTTCCTTGTTCTCCCCACTCAGAATTTACACCAAGTGTCCCATATCAGGGGTCCACATCTCCCTCCACTTCCTTCAGGTGTTCCCTCAGCGTTTAACACCTGCCACTTGGCGTTACATTCACCTTTAAAGCAGCAGGGTGATGCAGATTGAGATTCATGAGGACAAACCCACTGGCTCTTGTCCCCTCTTGCACCTGAAGACCTAGAGCTAGTAGGTACTCAGTAAAAACTTGGTAAATAAACAAATGAAAGGGCTGTGAGAAAAAGAAAGCTGAAAGGGAGGGGAAAAGTAGGGCTCCAGCCTTGGAAGCAGGAATGGTGGGCACTTGATGGCAGGGCCAGGCAGCTGCCTCTCCTAGGGGTGGTGGTAATGACACTAATGCGTCCCTTTGCAGCGGAGGGAAGAGCGGTGACCCTGTGACTTCCTGATGGGGTGCACCGGGGCCAGAGGAAAAGGACCCCCTCACAGAAGCCTGACCAAGCACCTGCTGGGCCGGATACCCCTCTTCATGAAGACACACCACGCAGCTCCAGCTCCATCACAGCTGACACAGGAGCTGCCCCAAATCTGGTGCTCACAGCATTCCCGCCCAAATCTGGTTGTCCTGCCAGTGCATTCCGCACAGCTGGTGCTCAGGAGCCAGGGTTCCATTTTCCTTTTACTTCAACTGCCTGATTTCTCCCAACATAACATCCCCAAGTAAAGCTGATCTGTGTAATTCTGTGTCATTCATTATTTTCTTCCCTATGTCTGGAGGACTGGACCCCAGGGGTGCTGAACATACAACCATCTTTACAATCATGGGAAGTCCCCAGGGCATGAACTGTGCACAATCACCCCTCTATCCCCAAAACCAGTAAAGGGCCTGGTGTAGAGGAAGGTGGCTGGAAGTGCACGCTGAACTACAACTTCCCAGCCCAAATGTGCAAGGGCCGCCAGAGGCCCACTCCCACCCAGGGAAGTAGAAGCCACGGGGTGCTACTCCTCTCTTAAATGCTCCCTGCCTGTCTCCTCCATCAGGGCTCCCGGGGCCACCGTCCACCCCAGATGTCAGCAAAGAACAAGGGCCAGCCCTCCCGCAGCTGATGACTCTTGCCAGGCAGGTCATCAACGTAGACTCCCCAGGAGCTCACGTCAATGAGGTCGGAGACGTCGTGGATGTAGTATTTGCTTATAGCCGCGTTGGTGGCCGCCAGATTCAGCAAGTAGTCATTCCGGGCCTTGGTGCACTTCAGCTTGTTCTCGGAATACTTTGCCTGCCTCTGGAGAAAGGAAAGAGTGGATGTGAGAGCATAGCCACTGATGCGAAGGATTTGGAGTTTTCTATATGGCCAGTATCTGCGGTCAGCCCCTCATGTGGCCCTGGGATACCTTACTCCATGTGCTGGGTGAGAAAGATCTAGACACCATACTCAAAGAGCTCCACCTTATACGACATGTGTAGCCGACAACAGCACTGTCGGGGTAAACTGCAGGCTTCACCTGGGTTTGCCAGAGTGGAGTGTAACTCACACCTCCAGAGGCCCTTACTCAACATCCCCCAGAGGCTGCTCAAACCCTGACGATGGCCTGTAAGCCCTCCTGACCTGGCTCTTCCTCCGTATTCCCATCCTTTATGAGGCCCTCCTCTGTCCATCCTTTAGAGGCCAGTTCACTTCTGCCTCCAGACTCAGACTCCTTCCCTCCACGTGGCGGGCCATCCTTGCAGGTCCCTGCATGGCCTTCTCCACGTCACTCAGGTCCTTAGCCACGGTCACATGCATCAGGGTCCCCGGCATCATGCCTGCCCCTTCCCATGCTCTATTCTGCCCTATTTTTCCCAGTTATTTAATCTTCATTCAAGTTTTAGTGATTATTTTTATTTAATTTTTAAAAGACTTTTTTAGAGGAGTTTTAACTTCACAGCAAAACTGAGAGGAAGGTAAAAAGACTCTGGGCATGACTCCTGGCCCCGCACACAGTGCCCCCCAACCCTCAGCACCCTCTACCAGGTTACAATTTGTTACACTGTACATTTGTTACAATTGGTGGACCTATACTGACACATTGCTATCACTCAGAGTCTACAATTTACCTGAGGGTTCAGTCTTGGTGTATATTCTGTGGATTTGAACAAATGTATAGTAACAAGTTTCCATCCTTATAGTATCAGAGCAGTTTCCCTGCTGGAAAAATCCTCTGTGCTCCACCGGTTCATGCCTTTCATCCCTCTCTCCCACATAATGGTTGTAACCACTGATTTTTTTTTTTTAACATCTCCATAGTTCTGCCTTTCCTAGAATGTCATATAGCTGGAATCATATAGTATGTAGCCTTTTCAGATTGGTTTCTGTCACATGCATTTAAGGTTCCTCTATGTCTTTTCATGACTTGATAGCTCATTTCTTTTTAGTGCTGAATAACATTCCATTGTCTGGCTATACCACAGTTACTTAGCCACTCAACTACTGAAGGACATTTCGGTTGCTTAATTTTTTTCATGAGTACTTTTCACCACCCTAAATTATATATATTTTTTACCTCTTTGCTAACTTGCTGATTTTCAGTGTCCCCTGTGAAGTCAGGGACTTAATGGTCCCTGTTCATGTCTGGGTCTACAGCACCCAGAACAGTCCCTGCATACGGGCAGCATGAAGTAATTGGCACTGGCTGGATGCGAGTGGTGGAGTGAGGTGGGGTGTGGCAGCCAGAGATGCAGTCTTCACCCAGTCTGAGCTGGACCGCCTCCCTAGGAAGCTGCTTCCGTCCTGGGCCATCCTGGGCAGGAAGCAGGAATGAGTCCACAGGTTGGAGAGCTGTCTCTTTGCCCCCTTCAGACAGATGAGCCCCACTGCTGAGGAGGGAGACAGCCTCCTTTAAGAAACAAGGCTACGTCCTACCGAGGCACTCTCAACCTTCCTCCCTACAGATCACGTTCTCCTGTTTAGTGGAGACCGCCACTGTCAGCCTTTTAATTTTCCGCAGACTTCTCTTCTGACCTTTATTCAGGGTCCACTTACTCTGGGAATTTCTAGCAACAAACTTCTGGCAGTCACACCCTGAACCAGCCACACGCCCAATCTCCACAGAGAGTTTTGATATTCCTGGCCCATTTCCAGGGGATTACTATGACCCTGAGACCATTTTCAGCCCTTCATGGTCTCATAAAAGTTTATACCTGGAAAGGATATTGAAGATATCTTAGCTTAATTCATTCATTTTATAGGTGAGGAAATGAACATCGAAGAGAAATAGGTTGTCCAAGAGCCAAATGGCCAATTAGCATACAATCCTTAACTCAAACTTAGTTTCCAGACCCCCCTAACCAGTACTGTCTGTATCTCTCTATAGATCCCCTTATGTTGTAGCTCTGTTAATTCCCTGCTTGGTTATCTTATTTTTTTAAAGTCTATTTCTAGTGTATTCTCAGACATATTGTATCAAAGTATATTCCCAGAAATATTGTATCAATACAACCATCACCACTATCTAAATTTAGAATATTTTCACTACCCCAAAGGAAACCTGTACATTAGCAGTCACTCTCCATTCTTTTCTGCCTCAGCTCCTGACAACCAATAATCTGCTTTCTGTCTCTATGAATTTGTCTATTCTGGACATTTCAAATAAATAGAATCATATAATATGTGGTCTTTTGTAACTGGCTTCTTTCACTTAGCTGTTCACTTGTTTTCAAGGTTCATCCATGCCGTACCTGTATTCATTCCTTTTCATGGCTGAATATTCCATTATAGGAATTTACCGTATTTTATTCATCAGTTGATTGTTTCTACCCTTTGGCTATTATGCATGAAACTGCTATGAAGTTCCAGGAGTGGAATTGCTGAGTTATATGGTAACTCTATGTTTAACATTTTGAGGAACTTTCAGACTATTTTCCAAAGTAGCTGCGCCAGTTGACATTCTCTCCAGCAATGTATGATGGTTCCAATTTCTCTACATCCTTACCAAAACTTATGGTTATCTGACTTTTTTATTTCAGCCACCATGGAGGGGGTGAAATGGTATATCACTGTGCTTTCAACTTGCATTTCCTTAGTAACTAATGATGCTGAGCATCTTTTCATATACTTATTGGCCACTTATATATGTTGTTTAGAGAAGTGTCTATTCAAATCCTTTGCCCATTTCTTAACTGGGTCACTGCCTGTTTATCTTTGAGCATATTTTTCTTTGGCTTTGGAAATGACTCTGATATTTTATTTGCCTCTGGTTACTTTTCCAGCTTACCAAGGTCCTGTTGGAATTTATTCCCACTCAATCTCCTATAATGAGAGCTGTAGGATCATTTAATCATCAGTCTTACAGAATTAGTCTCACAGAGTTAGTCTAATAGAAGCCCAAACAAACAAAAAAAAAGAAGCCCAAACAAATATCTGATCCAATGTTTGGCAAATAGAAAAAGTTCAGGAAATGTTTGCTGATTGTATGGAATGAATGAATGCAGAGAATTCAACAAGAAAATCATAGCCCTTTAAGAAGAAAGGAACCTAAGAAGTAACCTAGTCGAGGATGAAAAACAACAGGATGCACACTGCCCCTTTAAATTCCCTGGCCGTGGCAGACGTCATTAATTGATCACAGTACTATCTTTAACTAAAGCCTTGAGGGGGCTCACAATCCTCAACATAAGGCTCTGGGTGCACATGTGTGTGCTAAGTCATTTGGTCTGACTCTGTGACACTATGGACCATATAGCCCGCCAGGCCTCTGTCCACGGGATTCTCCAGACAAGAATACTGGAGTGGGTTGCCATGCCCTCCTCCAGGGGATCTTCCTGATCCAGGAATTGAACCTGTGCTTCTTAGTCTCCTGCATGGGCAGGCAGGTTCTTTACCACTAGCGCCACCTGGGAAGCCCAGGGCTCTGGGTAGCCACTACCAAATGATGACAGTTGATATGAGAAAAGAGATTTGTTTGCAATCATTGTCAGATTTTAAATCTAAAGTTCAGAGGGTTGTTATAAATGTGGCATCTTCAAAACTCAGCCTGCCTGACTCCAAAACTGGCACTTTGACCACGCCCCACAAAAGCACTTCTCCAGCACCAATATGCAAGGATTCCGTATGGCCTGGCTTTGGCCTGGCAATATCAATCTCTTCAGAATGGTTCCTTAGCTGGTTCCCAGGTGTTGGCTGGTACCCCAGGACTGTTGCCTCTTGCTGGGACACATTAAGGCCCAGTCAGCATCCCCAGCCACTAAATCGACCTTCAGGGCAGGCTCCACCCACACTAATGCCTGGTGAGTCCTGCCAGAAGATGCTCCCTGCACGAGAGTCTCATCCCAGTTCAGTTCTCTAGCCAGCTGAGCATCTCTCCTTCTGCTGACCTTGGCCAGAGGCCTAACACGTGCTAGCAGAGGCATGGCCAGCTCTACCTCCACCACGGCACTGCCCCCCTCCCAGGGGAGTAGCTGTGGACAGCATTAATCCACCCCCAGACACGCAGGGTGCAGGGCAGGAGGCCCAGGCTGGAGGGAGCCTGACCCTCCCCTTCCTGCCCCGTCCCAAACCCCAGGGCCTCGGCTCGCCTTCTCCTTCATCTTCTCGATCTTCTTCACAGAGCTGCGGCGCTGGGGCCGGTCCTCATGCCGGAGCAGGTTCATGCTGAGGTCTCCCGACTTGTTGAACTGCTTCTCCTCCTGCTTCTCGGCCTCCTTCAGCTTGCTTTCCGCACTGATGCTCTCTGCGTGGTACATGTGGTAGGTTTTCATGACCTGGGGACACAGGAGTGCAGGCGATCAATAGGCTGTTACGCCCAGTACGGGTGGCCCCTGGTGCTGCCAGCTCCCTTCCAACCTCGGTGTTCTGGTTGGCTCTGCCCCTGCCCTCCTCCCATGACACGCTCTGAAACCCCTAGGCTCTTCATTTTTATACATACTGTCTGAGGACAGGAAATGATACCATCATCATTAAGGCCTTACTGAGTGCCAGGAATGAACCAGTAAAGAGGAAAGAGCCCCCAGAGCTTCTGGGGGCTCTGGGAAGTGATGTATTGAACGTGGCTTTCTTCAGCTGGCCCCCCACCCACCCAGCCCTGCCAGCTGTGTGGCTTGCCTTCCTCTCCCATCCCTTTCCCAGCGTCGTTGGAAAAGGCCCTCCTTAGGTACTCATGGGATTTCCATGGGAACATCCTTCTTACTTACACACAAATCATTTTCTCAGCTGTTTCCTTAAGTAAATTTGGCCTGAAAATGGCTCTGTTCCCAAAAGGAATATTATTGGGTAACCTAATAGAAATTCTATGCTCTCAGAAATAAACTCATCCTTAGCTATAAAATTAATTCCTTTAAAGCAAATTGTACTGTGCTACCCTAATTACATATTAAGAATTAGATATTGCTATAACAAGGGAATTTTTGAGTCAGAAGAAATTCTACACATCATCTACTCCAACCACCAACTTTTACAAATAGGAAAACTAAAGTGCAGAAAAACAAAGTGGCTTATCCAAGATCATACAGTATTATCAGTACCGTTTGCAGACTTTATATCCATGTGATCATCATCAGAATCAAGACACCGAACACTCCAATCACACCAACAAGATGCCTCATGCCCCTTTATGGCTCATCCCCACCACTTACCCCAGCCCCCTGCAGTCACTGATTTGCTTTCTGACACTGCAGGTTGGTTTTGTGTGTTCCAGAATTTCATATGTATGGACCCGTAGAGTATAAACTCTTTTACACCTACCCTTGTTCACTCAGCATAATTTTTCCAAGATTCTCCCATGTTGCTGCATGTATCAGCAATTCTTTTTTATTGCTGATTAGTATTCCCTTGTATGGCTATACCACAATTTGTTTATCTGTTCACATGTTGATCATTATTTGGATTGTGTATAGTTTCTGGCTATTATGAACGATGCTGCTGAGAATGTTCACATACAATTCTTTCTGTTGATGGATGTTTTCATTACTCCTAAGTAAATAGGAGTGGAATAGAGGGTCATAGAGTAAGTGTAAATGATATATGTTAACCACAGTAAAAATTTGGTCTCAGACTTTTAATACTGTTATATCATACTGTTGCCTTAATTCATTACCATTTGCTCAGCAGATGTATTTGGAGCAGCTTTAGAGCAAGCGAGGCCAGTCCTATACCAATAGTATTCTATGTCCCAGTCCCCAAATAGGAGTGTACTTTCCCAGTGCAATATCAAGTTTATGATCATCTTTCTATGCTAAAAAACACAAGAAATTTCTGGAATCATGGCTCCTGAGCCTTGTTGGTCCTTTTCTCCTGCTGTTTGAACAATTAACAGCAGCTAATGGAGCAGAGGTGATGGGGTCCCCGGGGATGGGACATGCTTCTGCCTAACCAGGCCCTTTAAGTCAAAGAACTCTGAATGAATTACTGGCCAATGTTATTACCTCCTTCACTTCAAAGTCCTGTGAATTTAGACTATTAGAATAAGGAGGTTTCTTCTGTGATTCTTATCATGAAATCACAGCACTGATCTGTTGTTAAGGAAGTTTGTCATATGTCAGGAGTCAGCAAGGGCAACATCTATTGTAGAGCAAATTAGGTAAGAATGTGGACTCTGGCCTAAATATCTGGGCTGAATCCTGATGCTGCCACTTACCAGCTGTGTGATCTTGGGCAAGTCACATAACTGCTCTGACCTCTGCTCCCTCATCTATAAGATAGGGATAATAAAAGCACCTATCTCATAGGTTTGTGGTGAGACTAAATAAATTAATTTTTTAAGATGCTGAAATAAATACCAACTACACAGTAAAAGCTATGTAAGCATAAGCCACGACCATTGCCACCACCATCTACATCCCTGATTTGGGCTGAGTGTTTGAAAATGCTAAACTTACTTATTTTACTTCAGGAAAATACAAACTCTAGAAAACATTAGCTAATGTGGGAAAAAATTTATTCTACACCACATTTCTCCCTCCTTTCATCCTGAAAACCTCCCCAAATTTCAAAACAATAAATGAAAACTTGCAACTAACTTTGCAAATCTTGGTGGGAAGACTTCTCTGCATCCAGCCCATTTTTTTTTTTTTTTTTTTTGCAGTTGCTCTAAAGCCTCTAGAGAGGCCCTTCTGGCTGGTTTCATCCCTTCCTTCATCCCCTCTGCCTTCTCTAAGCTTACTTCTATACAACTCAATGGGCCAGAAAATGTGCCAGATCAATGTGTTTTCGACATCTAGTGGCCAAAGGCGATGACTGCAGGTTTATGGATGACCAACGTAGTTGCCTACTTCAACAATCTTTAAGCCAGGGCTGCTGGAATGGTACGCGGCTCAGAGCTGGGAAGCCCGCTGAAGGCTGTCTCTGGGCCCCTTTCCCATTCTCGAACCATTCCTTGACCCCTGCACCTTCGCAGACACCACTGGTGTCTGCATTCCTCCCCGTGCTGCTGGTGCTGTTCGTTTCTGAACTCCATTTCCTTTCTGGGTTCAAGGATTCATGCAAAATCCATTTTTCCCCCATTTCAGCTGCTGAGGTCTGCTTATCTCAAGCACCGATTTATCATGTGTGTCGGGTAGTTCAGAGGAAGAGACAGCATTTCAATTTGCACCTACAGCTTCCCATCCAATCATCCACGCGTTCATTCATCCAAGTGATCAAGGTCAGCATCCCAGCTGGGCTTTCTCAGCCTCCCACATTTTCCTTTGGTTACTTTTCTACTCCTCTTGAATCACAGAGTACTCTTCCTGCCCTCCATCAAACCAGATTCCCAGAGTAGTCTCTGAACTGTGTTCCAAAAACCCCACGATTGGAAAACACTGCCCAATGACCCTGGGGTCAAACTCTACATGATTCAGTTGGTAATTCCTGATCCCAAGAATCATGGTGAACTGGACTGCCCAGGGTCACTTATGTCAGACAGCTGCCACAAGAAAGTTTACCTGGGGACATCTCTGAAGTGAGGTCTATTTATGCCCAGAACCCTCTAGATGCTTCCTTTATTTAATTACCTGAAACAGGGGCTTTGGCATGAAAGGCCCTTAGCTCAATGGTCCAGAACAGTCTGCTTAATATTGCCAGTCCAGGAGGTGCTGAATAATTTGTAAATTTACCTATTACTTCAGACTTTGCAAACCTCTCTTTTTATTACCCATAAGGAGCAAGCATTTCAATTAATCCTGGGAGGCAGCAGAATAATAATAATAGCAGCTCACATTTACTGAACACTTACAACATGCCAGGCCACCTCACAGACATTGATTCACTTATTTTTCACAAAACCCCTATGAGGTAGACTATATTCTGCCTGCTTTACCAGTGAGGAAACCACGACACAGGGGTGAAAGGGTGATCTGCACCATGGAGACCCAGGAGACCTGCTTCTGAGACGACCCTCCCACCACTTGCCGGGTAGCTGCGTCCAGAGGCTTAACCCCGCTGTGCTGCCTGGCAAAGACCAGAGTGGGCGCTTGCAGAGACCCTGGGAAGCTGGGACTGCAGAGTGGCAGGCTGCCAGCAGTGTGGGGGTGGGGAAGGGAGCAGAGGAGGATGCAGTTCAGTCAAGTCACTGGGACACAGTCTTCAACCTGGGGTCTCTGGAGGGGCCTCAGAGATAACCAGAAGCTTACTGCCAGATGGGAGTTCAGTTTCCAGCCCTCAAGATCCTATCAGGAACAGCCTTTCAGAAGAAGTCTAGCACAGGTTGAGAAGTACTAGGTAGGGACATGTAAGTGGAGACCACTGTTCTTGGCTCCAAATCAGTTTCATAGGTTCTCAGAGATGCTCCAGAAACCTTGGTATATTATCCTGTCATTGAAGGAGACTGAGGCCCAGAAATGGCAAGTTTGGGGCCTAAGCCATACAGCAAGCCAGATAGCCAAGCTGTCAGTATTTCCTCTTCTGGTGATCATGCCGCCTTTGCTGTGCACGCTGTGCCTCTTGCATCTTCCCAAAGCCTCAGATCATGAAAATAGGAAAGTATTATCTGCACGGTTCTTCAAATCCAGATTTAGATGCAAAAGAAGGCAAAGGCGATCTGGAAGTTCACATCATTAATAAAAGGACAGGCTGGGGCAGGATAAGGATCCATTTTTAGAAAAAAAGGTTCTCAACAATGCAATTCTGTGTAGGTGTCCTCCACCCAACAGGAAGGGCCATCCCTGGGCCACGCAAGAGTTGTGAACGAAGTGAGACCCTGGGCCAGAGCATAACAAAGTCATCCACAAGGAAAAGAGAAGTACCCAAACTTCAGTCCGACCACCCACATTCTGTGCTGCCTACGTTCTCTGTAGAACTTCTAATCACTGCCTTATTCATTTTGCACATTTACAAACTGTCTCACCCAACTCAAGTGCAAAGTCCATAAGGACCAGGACATTGTCCATGATCATAATCCCTGTATTAGAGCAGAGATTGGTCCCAGCAAGTATCAGTGTATATTTGCATGAATAAATGAATGACAGCTAGATGGCTGGCTGGATAAAGTGGTGGCTGGATAGGTAGATAGGTGGGTGGGTAGAAGGATGCATGGAAAGATGGATAGATGGGTGGCAGGTGAATGAATGGATGGATGGATTAATGGCTAGATAGATGGGTGAGTAGGTGAAAGGATGGGATGGATGAGGATAAAATAGAGCTCTATTGCCTTTGCTCTAATGAATATATAATCTTTGGGGGTAGGGCAACAGCTACACCTTCAATTGTTAAATATTTATTGAACAGCTCATGATACACCTGGTACTGAACTTGGACCTATACGAGGAAACACTACAATGTAGAAGACAGA